AAAAAAAAAAAAAATCGGTGAAAACTGTCAATTTGTTCTTCTCTAAAAATACCACATAGAGGCGGAGATTTTCAGACACCGCCAACGAGATATGTGATTGCAGACTTATGTCGTCGATATGTTGTCTGGGGGGAGAGCTGAAATTCTTTGAATAGGTAACTATTACTGCTAGGAGGATGTGATCTTGCCTACCTCCAAAATTGAAGGAGGGACAGCAAATTGCGTAAAATCCATAACCCCGTCGTAGGCTCCCTAAATTTTAAGTCAGATCACGTCTCTGCCTCTGGTGCGACTCGTAGAAGTGAATAACACAAGTCTCATGGAAAAACGTCCGTTTTGAAACACTTCCTTTGACTTATCTACGCCCCCCCCCCTCACAAAAAAAATCGCGACCTTCATGTATGGTGACGGCACCTTTATTATTAATAGTTTCCATTGCGATAGGAGCATTGCATTTAGAACTCAAATTTTTGTAAAGTGACGCGGTCGCGGTGCCCATCTAAACCTTCTTGATTCCTGTGATTCATAGTCCCGTGATAACATACTGTTGCCTAATGCAGAGACATGGAGATTTATCGAATGATCATACTATACTAGCGAAATGCCCGTGACTGGAGTTACGGGTCTAGAGGCCGCTAAAATATCTATAGCCCCGAAAAAATGGTGGTAGGGTAGCATGACATGCCATAAAAAAATGATAAAATCGATAGAAAAATGAGTTGAAGGGAGAGGGTGATGAAGGTAGAATAATGAGCTNGGGGGGGGGGGGGGGTAGAATAAATGCTGGCAAAAAAATTAGAACCAACCTAGTAATGATTTATTTAAAAAAAAAACAAAAAAAAAGAAAAAAAATTGAAATAAAGCATCAGCTGATAGGAAACAAAGGTTACCAAGGAATGGAACTTTCATAAATCAGATTAGTGGATAACAGCGTAAGTAGGGCACTTACGTTAATTACCGTTTGTAAGTAAACGGTAAGTGCGATTTGACCAAAAATCAATACAGTTCTTTATAAGACCAAAATGGACAAAATTACAAAATTTGAATAGGCTAACGTAAATCTAACGATAGTTATCGTGAACGAAAGAATTGACGACATAGGTCAGGTAACTATTATAGGTGGGAGGGATAGTGATGGTGATTGGCGACGCACTTGTAAAAGCCCCAAAAATTGAACGTTTAAGAGGGAATTTGAAAACATCGTGAAGAAGGGGTCTGTACTCCCCTTACTTCTTACGATCCTCGGCGATCTATTCTTTTTTATTTGTGCAATTAAGGGTTTTAATGTCCTCTAAATGAGTGTTTCTGCTGTTTTCAGGGTGACAGTGGCGGTCCGCTCATGTACTTCAAAGACGGGGCTTTCTATCTTGTCGGAGTCGTCTCATTCGGGTTGAAGTGCGCCGAACCGGGCTATCCCGGTGTTTATACTCGGGTCTCAGAGTTCATGGATTGGATCGTTTCAAATGCCAAGTGATTTTGTTTCAACTCTCTGGTTGTATTTTTACATTGATTTTTCAATACGGGACGATGATAAATAAAATTACGTAAAAGAAGGAACCTGCCAGAATTATTTATTTGTTATACATACCTATTTCTTCATCTTAAGTAATTAAAAATACGGTTTAGCTCATTGGGTTATTTATACGCTTATTTTGGGACTCATTGTCAGTCTCCAAAAGGCATTTTCTCGATGCTGAATTCACGTACCTCATTTGTTTTAAGGGGAATAAAGCCAAAGCGCCTTCAATTTCTCATACATGCAACACCGTCATCCAATGAGTACGAATAGTTGCATGCAAACCTTGTCATCGACGGCGCGGCGCAACCCGTCCGATAATTTAATCGCGCGCTCCTTTTTCTGTGCGTCCTTATTTACAAGGCACGCATTCATACCTCTTTTTTTAACATACAGCTGGGAGAGATAAAGTTGTAATGTTGGATTCTCAAAATTGTTGGCCGAAATGCAACTTTTCGCCCTTCTTTGACACAAAAAGAAGTAGCCCGCTAACAAGTTATTCTTGAGGAAACTTACAGGTGCACCTTTGACATTGTGCTTTTTTCTCGCCAAGCAGTTTAGACGTACGTAATCCCCTTGAAAGGAAGCCCCTATCCTTAACAATGGAGCTCGTCCATGCCAATGGGATTTGCGATTTAAGTATTTTTTCACGAGTGAAACTCCGTGAGAAACACCTCCCCCCCCCCCTCTCACCACTCAAAGTTAAGGACGTAATTGAGGGGACTGCCTACCTATATATGGTGAGAGTTCACCTTATATACCCAGTCAGCTCTCCATTCAAAGATAGGGAGCAAATACATTTACATACGGGTTACCAGTTTTGTGTGGGGGCTTAGAGGCTGCAGCCATGGTAACTCTAGGACCGAATTTAATTGGTCCTTCCACCGGCACTAAAATATACGTAGGACGAGCCTCGATTTCACTTAAGTCCGTCGCACAGTGGATCGAGTCAATCAGAGCCCTGGTAAAAAATTGGCAGGACAATATGTGTTCCAAAATACCTTAGACCTACAGCGGCTGTAAGATTTCCAATAGCTTCTAAAGCCGGAAACATAATTTCTTGTAGCCTTTTATAGCCGATGGCGATTAAGCAACAGCCTGGATAAAGTGTAGGCTAAACGTGACTAACTACGGATGCTAGGACTTTGTGAGTTTTTGGACTACCGCTCTCTTTTTGGGCCGTAGTATCTTGATTTATTTTGCGAGGAAAGCTCCGTTTGAAGGATTCCTAATATGTTGGAACGCCTTCAATTTCGTATGATACTGTGCAATACCTCTGGTGTGAAATAGTTGCTTCAAGCGCCGTGGTACGCTGCGGTGCGGCGCGACGGGCGGGCAGCCAGCGCAAAACGCGCATTGGCGCCTACAAACCTAACAGGGATACTTCACGCATTGCGCAATGCGTGAAGTATCCCTGTTAGGTTTGTAGGCGCCAGTGCGCCGCCGCTCCGTTTTGTGTTATGCTCTAATATTTAATCTCGTGGAGTCAGCGTTTTCAACTCATGGCTTTGAAATGTTTGCACACTCTGTATGGATTATTCTCATTTTAACTGATGAAAAAAAATATGTAGTAAAGGAAAATACAATGTGCGTATTGTAAATATTGAGGTGAATCCGTACAAACTTAGGGATTTACAAAGCACACGAATTTCTACCCAATTTCTTATAGCCCTTTATAGCCGATGGCGAAAAAGCACTAGTCAGGCGATAAAGTATAAAGCCCGGCGATAGGAACTATAGCCTGCCGGCTGTATAATTTTTTATCGCTTCGTGTAGCGCGGCCGTATGATTTTTTCCAACTCAATTTTGTCAAAACTGCACTCATGCGCCTTGTCCTCCATGCCCCTCAATTGAGAGTTTACCTGGTGTGGAGGTGGACTTTCTCCAAGGTGTTCAACTTGGAGAACTTCATTTGAGCCGGGGAGTTGGTTTCAGCGAAAACCGGTGCTCATCGTACCTCTCGTAGAATTTGACTCACAATCAGCGTGGAGTTTCCTAAATCGTAAGTACCTGAGGGATGCAAGAACTCCATTTCGACGTCGACCCTGGTGACGTAGCCAGACGGAAGAAATGGCGGTCAAGCTCCGAGACTGGCCGTCTCCACGGCGCGTTTGCTCCGTTGGATCAGTGAAGTTAGATCAGCCGATCAGACGGCATCCTCCCGCGTCCGTGACCTTCGTCCGGTAAATCAGCGAGCGAAGAGCACAATCAGTGCCAGTGTCCGTTCACCATCGTGACCGCGCAAGCCACCAATTTCAGCTCCGGGATTTCCCCGTGAGGAAGCTTACCGCACCCGGGCTTCCGTGCTGCATCACATTCTCGCGCAACTTCGGTATCACAGAGTGAAAAGGTACCTAACTCCCATTTTCGGACAGATCGTCGTTTAACAGACGAACGTTAGTAGCGCAGTATCGCTTAAATACGTTCCTGAAATATATCTAAAAACCTTAAAATTTTTCACGGTTGCTTCTATAAAAACGAAAAAACTATGATATTAAAAACGACTTCGAAGCTATTGAAGTAATAATGAATGTCCGCTTCGCGCATTCTTTATNTTTTTTTTCGAGCATTACCCGTTTTGGCTTTTTTAATATACAAGTAGGTAATCACCGCGTAAAAATATGTGGAACTGGAACCTGGTCTTGTTCCTTCCAAAAAATTTTTACTGGGAAGACTTTAGCCAGGGATCCCTTATCCCGTGAACTTTCTTCGGAAGACGTTTTAGAGTTTTCATCAGCGGTGCATGAAACTCCCACGGGAATCCTAATGAGATTGCTCGAATCGAAAAAATGTAATTGGTTCAAAATAAAAAAAAAAAAAATTAAAAAAAATTTTTTATAACATTAGTTTTTAAGATAAGCTTTATTCGAACATTAACTCCCCGTAATTAATGCCCCGTATGGGCCAGTAGTACATTTTTACTTAATAAAAATAAAAAAATAAAAAAATAAAATAAAAAATAAAAATTCAAAACGGATTTCGATCGAGCAGATTTCGATCGAGCAGGCTCGATCGAAACAGATTCCGATCGAAACAGGCTTTCGAAACGATTTTTTCGAAGTGAACGATTACGAAATGATCGCTCGATCGTTTCGTACGAACCAACGAGCGATTTCATCGGTTCGGGGACAGCCCTAGTTTCGTGCTGGCAGCACACCGTTCCGCTTTGTGTTAGGCTCTAATATTTAAACTTGCGAAGTCAGCGATTTTCAACTCATGATTTTGAAACGTTTGCACACTCTACATGGATTATTCTCATTTAAATTGATGGATAAGATAAGTATAAAAGGAAAATATAAACGTATGTGTTTTGTAAATATTAAGGTGGTTCGGTGTCGAATTTAATGATTTTCAAAGCACTTTGATTTTTTTCTTTTATACTTTGTTTTCACAAATTATGCACTAACACTAGTTTTACATGAAATCATAAGTAACTCAATTTTTTCAAAACTGCACTCATGCGCCTTGTCCTCCGTGCCCCTCAACTTAGAGTTTACCTGGTGTGGAGGTGAACTTTCTCCAAGGTGTTCAACTTGGAGAACTTCCTTTGAGCCGCGGAGTTGGTTTCAGCGAAAACCGATGCTCATCGTACCTCTCGTAGAATTTGACTCACAATCAGCGTGGAGTTTCCTAGTAAGTACCTGAGGGATGCAAGAACTCCATTTCGACGTCGACCCTGGTGACGTAGCCAGACGGAAGAAATGGCGGTCAAGCTCCGAGACTGGCCGTCTCCACGGCGCGTTTGCTCCGTTGGATCAGTGAAGTTAGATCAGCCGATCAGACGGCATCCTCCCGCGTCCGTGACCTTCGTCCGATAAATCAGCGAGCGAAGAGCGCAATCAGAGCCAGTGTCCGTTCGCCATCGTGACCGCGCGAGCCACCAATTTCAGCTCCGGGATTTCCCCGTGAGGAAGCTTACCGCACCCGGGCTTCCGTGCTGCATCACATTCTCGAGCAACTTCGGTATCACAGAGTGAAAAGGTACCTAACTCCCATTTTCGGACAGATCGTCGTTTATCAGACGAACGTTAGTAGCGCAGTATCGCTTAAATACGTTTCTGAAATATATCTAAAAACCTTAAAATTTTTCACGGTTGCTTCTATAAAAACTATGATATTTCAAAAACGACTTCGAAACTATTGAAGAAATAATGAATGTCCGCTTCATGCATTCTTTATATCTTTTAAGTAATGTTGAAATCAGTTCTAAGAAGTTCTAAAAAAGTTTCATGGAAATATTTTTGAAATGTATGAAATACAATTATTATTATTTTTTATGACCTAAAAGTTCTATTTTTTTATTCTTTTTTTTTTGTTTTTTTTTGTTTGAAGAAAGGTTCTCAAAAACATCCTTAAAGTATCTGTATTTTTTGTTTTGAACACCATATAAGAAAATCCTTTTTTTTTGCGTTACGAAGAGTTCACGAGAACTCAGGATATCCAAGTTGGTATCTAAAATTGCTTTAACACTCTGTACAATTATTTCCCAAAAAATCGATTCTCAAAGATAAAATGAAACGTTTTTAAAACGAAATTTTTCTCTGATTTTATTGGGGAAAGAACGCGACTCCACCGAGGAAAATTAAATGCTAAAGGAACATCTTGCATATAGAAATTGTGTCTGATGATCCGTAGATGCAGTCGTGACCGTACTTGTAATTACTTAAACATCTTAAAATTGCAAACTTAACTTTGGGAGCGAGCAAGCAAAGATCTCGAAATTAACCGTTAATTCTTTGGTATTGTCGATGCTAAAGCTGCATATAATTATTTTTACGGTGTACATTCCATGTATCAACCTCCCCACTCGCAAATTCCATTCAAATTAGGAAGCCGTTGGAAATGTTTGACTGAAAATTTCACAGATTTTTTCTCTCCACCTAAAGAGCATAGTGCTGGGTGAAATAAAGCATCTGTTCAATGCAATTTTTTAAACACGAAATTCTAATATTTTTACATCATTGGTATATTGCCGATTTTAAACAACCAATTTAGTGAGTTCAGCATATAAAAAAAAAAAAAAAAAACAATTTGAAAGTAAAAATTGCAATTTTCTTTATGTAATACATCCTAATGAGCGGAGCCCCTTCAAATTTTAGTTAGGCAAAATAAATATCACTCTGATGCAACAGCAATTGAATTGTTGCTGTGGGTGCAGAGAGGGCATTTCTTATTGTTAATTGCTGTGTTTCAGAATCTCCAGTGCTGATTTCTATTTTAGAGAGGAAACTAATGGGTGAATTTTCTGAAATTTTACGTTTTGAGCACTGTAAACTCATAAAGAATATTCAGTAAAAGTTACAACAAATTACATACATTTGCTTTAGTTATAATGGATGAAACGTCAGCGGAGATTTTGACATACTGTAACCAAGAAATGCTCTTTCTGCACCCAGCACTTCTATTTTTGCACTATATCGTTTAATAGTAATTTCGTTTATTGCAACCGGTGCTACCTGCTCAGGTGAATACACCAAGAAAACGGTAGCATTTTGAGCAGAGATTGCACTTGTAAAAAATGATTGTGTAGGTCAGTTTTACTGTTTTGGAATTAAGTTACGTTTCTTTGTCTGGGAGACGACAAAATGAACTGCATTATGCAATTTGGAACTATAAATTCTAGCTCACCTGTAAAAACACTTATGTGCATAGGGAAACGAATGGCACATATGTGTTTTTTAAACCGGACTAGAAATTATAGTTCCAAATTGCAAAATGTAGTCCAAATGTAGTTATTTGTGATTTTCAGATCTCCATTAACGCGTCAAAGTAGCTAAAAAAATTGATAGCTCTATCTCAGCGCCAGTTCTATGACATGGAGTTTCACGAGCTTTTATTATTTACATTATAGTATCATTTAGGTTTAAGCGCGGTTTTCCCACGATACTCCAAAGTGGCTGAAATGATGGAGATAGGTACATTTTTACTCTGGGGTATTAATAGCATTTCAAATGAAATTGATGTGTGACAATTGCAATATTTTGAAATTGACAAGGGCTATTTCATGTTTACTTTTGTATGGATAGTCGGTTACCTATGAGAAATTTTCTGGGAACTACCTAGGGAATTTCAATGAGTTTCAAATGAAATTCCCAGGAGAATCTTCTCAATACTGCCGTGCTAGGGTAAGACGCCGTATAAACATTCGAGAGTTGCCAAATTTTTCCGGCTGAAACATGTATTTTTTCTTGAAACTTTCAGATATTATGTTAGATAAGGTTGCGAACAAAATTATTCGTTAGATTTGAAGAAAATAATATTCAATTTTTTTCCGAGAAATTCGGGTTTTAGCACAGGAAATCTGGCAACGTCGAAAGACTCATACGGCGTTTTTCCTTATCATGGCAGAATAGTTCGTTCATGCAAAACTGAACTGTCCATAAAAATTTGTAAACACCTTGGTGCCACTTACGTCCTTATACTAAAAATTGATTAAATTCTCTTACAGTAGTGTGATAATATTTTGAATGTGCTATCGCCAATTCGTGCCGTAATAAACTAATAAAAACTGTGAGTGAATCGGTAGTGTCGGCCGGTGGCATTTGAGATGAGCAGACGTGGATACCTTCCTGTGATCTCCAGCATGTGCGGTTCTCGGCTCATTATCAGCATGAGCTTGTGATGTTTTCGCGGTCACGACCACCGGCTCTCCCCACCACTGCGTGACGCAGCGCCTCTTAATCGGCATCTTTACTCTGCAGCATCTTCTGCCTCATCTGCTCAGCCCACCGATTTTTGGATTTCCGGCTAGTTCCCGTAGTATGACACAGATTCTGCCTTGAGATGTAAGTCCTCATTCTCCCCAATTTATTAAAAATATACCACGACGGAAAAATGGACTTCCCAACCATGTCCCGGCCGGCGGCGACAACGATAAGTTGCGATTTGATCGGAGAATAAATAGCGATTTTATCGATGTCGATTCGTTGTAATATTATCGCATGGAAAATTGCGATTTCATGGCATAAATTTGCGATATATTGTGATTTCATGGCATAAATTTGCGATGGATTGCGATTTCATGTCATAAATGTGTTATAAATTGCGACTTCATGGCATGTATTTGCAATAGAATCGCGATTTTCAAGACGACAATTAATCGCAATATTATCGAAAAAAAACTTGGGATGAATTGTGATAAAATTCCGATTATATGAAATGCTTTTACGAAGATAAAATTGCGATGAGATCGAGGATAACCGCTCAGATGTTGATAATCCCATAGCGATTTTTCCGTTGAAGTATGTTACTTGGGATAGTGGGGAAAGGGGTGACATAGCGAGGGATTTATCAAATTGCAATAAGCAGCAAACATTGAAATTAGAACCTAATTGAATGATCACTCTGTACTTTGGATCATGCATGACTTGGATTAGCTTAGACATTAATCAGTTTAACCTTACTCGGAATCGGTTTAAGGTCACGCATTCAGTTAGGTCTTTGTATAGATGCAATACGTAAAAAGTTGATCCAATTCTAATCATAAAAAATGTAATTGTGCACAAAAAGCGTTAAATTTTATCGGGGCGATGATACAGGGTGGTGTTTATTTCACAGGATCATGAAAATTAGTAATTTCCGAAGTGCGATCTTCAGCAGTACCAAGTTGACAATACGGGTTTGGGCCAACATGAATATATGAGGGGCGTGGAAGGCAAGGCGCATACGTGCAGTACCTATTTGCATTGTGAGACATAAGTCTCGAAATTGACATGGATCCTTATGGCGGGAAAAAGGTTCTAACTGATTTTTTGGTGCATGAAAACTGGAGCAAATTCTTTACAGACTATGAATTAAGACTAGCTTTATTGAAATCATCAATAACTCAATTTTTTCAAGAACTTTACTCATGCGCGCGCCTTATCCTCCGAGCCCCTCATATCGCCTCTCCTTCTATTGCCTTTTAAAATATTCGGAGAAGCCCATGGCTGTTGTTAAATCCTGCGAAAAAACAAATAGGCAAAAAAACTAAATATTAACTCCTCCCACAGAGAGAGGTGACACTTGACCAGACACTGAGCATCAGAAAAGAAACATGCATCTAAATATGCAAGAACACAAATTATGTCGAAAAATCCCCCCTACTGCTTTTTCTTGAGATTGTGAGTGAATGCTTTTAACTTTAGTAAACTTTCTTCTGTCAGTTTTCTTCTTATTTCATTCACTAGGTGGTACGACCCCCGACCGCTTGGCGGTCCACGACGGGTCCAACACCCCCCCCCCCCCNGTGACGCTTTATACTCTCTTATGCGTTTCGCGTTACAATTCGTCGCTTAGCTGACATAAGGGCGTAACCACACATTGAGATGAGCCCGGAAAAGCGTTGAATTGTATGGATGACAGGGTTCATTGCAGAGTGAAGTTACGCCCTTGTGTCAAGTAGGCGACGAATTATGCTATATTCATGGCCGGATTCACCTACTTGCCGCCCATGGGCCGCCTGTATTATGCCGCCCCCCTCTCATTCGTTTTGAAACTCGATAAAAACCATCAAATGAACGTGTCAGCGGGGGAGGGGTGCATAAGACGCATTTACTCGTGTTGAACACATTTTTGGGAAAACCCTGTCAACACTACTAGCAAACGTTCACGGAACTTAGTGCGAAATTTGAGTTCCGTAAACCTATCACTGTGTGGACAAGGCCTTCCATTCACAAGAAATGAACGAACAAATTATGAAAGAACAAATATAAATGTGGTTCAATGATTTTGACTTTCGCCGCCGCGCCGCGCAGACCGCACCGTGTTGGACGCAATGCGTGAAGCATTCACGCTGTCTTGTAGGCGCTATGCGTTTCACGCTGACCGCACTGTGTATGGCGCAATGCGTGAAGTATTCATACATTCTTGTAGGCGCTATCCGTTTCACGCTGACCGCAATGACCGCACTGTGTTTGATGCAATGCGTGAAGTATTTGTGCAGTCTTGTAGGCGCTAATATGTCTTACATGCCGATCGCCGCGCCGAGGGCTTCTCCTTTTCATCTCAAGTCCTCGTTATCATTTCTCTCTAAGTCGCGCTGTTCTAGGCCAAATTGCGTGTATAGTTTCTCTCGTAACTCGACTTATTGAGGGTGCTGTCTTTTGTATCACTAAGACAAAATTAGATACTTACCAGGAAAATTACTGTACTCCCAGGAAATGCTAGATTTTGTCGCCTTTTCTCGTTTGTAATTTTGTTTTTATGAATCAGATTTTTTTTTATACCTACACTTTAAAAATTGCAAATTTTTGCCGCCCCTAAGATTTGCCGCCATGGGCCGCGGCCCATGTGGCCACCCCCTTAATCCGGCCCCGGCTATATTATGGAGTATGGTTCATTCAAAAGGGGGAACCGCGTTACCCTCCTCACTCTGACCGACGACGCGACGGCGCACAGTGGATCGAGACAATGGAGATGTTGCATATGTGAGGAATTTGCGATTTGACTGTTGATTCTTATGTAAAAGTTTGCGAAAAACACGACGGTGCCACTGGTTTTCTCTGAAATAAACTTCCAAGCTCAAAAAAGCTCTCAAGTTGAGGCCAAAATGGAGGGGATATCCCACGCTATCCTGAGAGTCCACCTCTACATCAAGACGAACTCTCCATGCAAAGATAGGGGATAAATACATTAGCAGGGTTGCCATGTTTTCAGTTGTGGAGTCCCCGAATAAAGTGGCAGCCCTGTCAATGCATTTGCTCCCTATCTTTGCACGGAGAGTTTGTCTTGATGTAGAGGTGGACTCTCAGGATAGCGTGGGATATCCCCTCCATTTTGGCCTCAACTTGAGAGCTTTTTTTGAGATTTCAGAGAAAACCAGTGGCACCGTCGTGTTTCTCGCGAACTTTTACATAAGAATCAGCAGTCAAATCGGAAATTCCTCACACATGCAACATCTCCATTGAGAGGTCGGACAAAATTTTTTTTACTAAAACTGCATTTTCGTGTTTGCTTCATCACATTTCAAAGTTCGAGAAGAACATTTTACGAGGAAACCAATAGAACCACTTTCAGATCCTCAAAATTTTGTACAAACGGAGTTCTAAACTTTCAAAGTTTCCAAATTTTGTCCGACCTCTCCTTTTGACTCGGTCCACTGCGCGGCGTCTCTGGTTATTTATTTACTTCGTAGCACTCCACACTTCGGGCAGCGCACCTCAGCGCCTGTGTCACATTGTCCTGTAGTTATTGCAATCCTGTCAAAATGTGAGCGAAATACTGTCGTGACACTGCTTAGACTCCTCAAACGATTGAGCAAAGCTTGAGTTCAAGTACGTCTCATGTTCATAACAGCCGCGAGACCGTGGCTGGGCACTATGTCACTTTTACCGAGGTCAATGTTGAGGTAAAAAGGAGAGAGCAGTAGCGAGCAGTGGCGTGGCGTGGATTGCGATGTATCGATTGTCCTGCCATTTAAACCTATGGTAAAGAATCGATTATTTAGGTGTTCGCTGCGAACACCCTATTTATCGATCCTTTGACATGGGTTTAAATGGCATAACAATCGATAAATCGCAAAGCACGCCACGCCACTGGTAGCGAGGCACGATTTGTCGGTTGATGCTTAATACCATCGTTTGTTTCACGCATCCCTGCCAACTATGGTTCTTGAAACGTACTGGGAAGAAAGTAGCTTTAAGAAGACATTTGAAGACCAAAAGTGTGGGTATCGACACATTAAGAAACCATACGTACCTACTATGTTACAAAATAACAGAATTTTACGTCACGTTGTATAACTTTTCAGCAAATCTCTTCCACCACGCTTTGATTTTGGTCATTCAAAATCATGCAAAAATGGACTTAGTCCTCTCATCTTGTATACCCTGGTGAAATTGGCGATAGGAGCTGCGTTTCAAAATACTATAGGAATTCTTATAGCCGGCTAAAGAAGGCAATAGAAAATCATATAGCTGGCCGTAGAAAGCGGAGCAAATCATATAACCGGGCTATACGAAGCGATAAAAAAGTATGCAGCCGGGCTATGGTTCCTATCGCCGGGCTATAGTTCCTATCGCCGGGCTATAGTTCCTATCGCCGGGCTTTATTTACACTTTATCGTCATCGGCTATAAAAGGCTATAAGAAATTGTGTAGAAATTCGTGTGCTTTGGAAATCATTAAGTTTGAAACGGAACTACCATAATATTCACAAAACACACATTATATTTTCCTTTAATACATTTTTTTTCCATCAATTAAAATGAGAATAATCCATACAGGATGTGCAAATATTTCAAAATCATTAGTTGAAAAACGCTGACTCCGCAATATTATATTGGATCCTAACACAGAGCGGAACGACGTGCTGCCACGTGCTGCGACGTGACGCCCGTTTCTACCTCCTTGCAGATTGTTGTAGACCTGAGCACTGCGTTACTGGAGAAATCGACGGAAAAATAAATCTTTAACGATAGATATCTATACCCTGGTAAAAATTGGCGATAGGAGCTGTGTTTCAAAATACCATAGGAATTCTTATAGCCGACTAAAGAAGGCAATAGACATTCATATAGCTGGCTGTAGAAAGCGGAGCAAATCATATAGCCGGGCTATACGAAGCGATAAAAAAGTATGCAGCCGGGCTATAGTTCCTATCGCCGGGTTTTACACTTTATCGCCAATCGGCTATAAAAGGTTATAAAAAATTGTGTAGAAATTTGTGTGCTTTGGAAATCATTAAGTTTGATACGGAACCACCATAATATTCACAAAACACACATTATATTTTCCTTTAATACATTTTTTTCATCAATTAAAATGAGAATAATCCATACAGGATGTGCAAATATTTCAAAATCATTAGTTGAAAAACGCTGACTCCGCAAGATTATATTGGAGATTGGAGCCTAACAAAGAGCGGAACGGCGTGCTGCCAGCGATAAGCGCGCACCAGCGCCTACAAACCTAACAGGGATACTTCACGCATGGCGCAATGCGTGAAGTATCCCTGTTAGGTTTGTAGGCGCTAAAGCGCTTTTCGCGCTGGCTGCCCGCCCGCCGCGCCGCAGCGTGCCACGGCGCTTGAAGCAACTATTACACACCAGAGGTATTGCACAGTATCATACGAAATTGAGGGCGCTCCAACATATTAGGAATGGCAGGCATCCCTCTAAAGTACGGAGCTTTCCAGTTACAGAAATCAAGATACTACGGCCCAAAAATAGGGCGGTAATCCAAAAACAGTCCTAGCATCCGTAATTAGTAACATTTAGCATACACTTTATCGCCTGGCTGTTGCTCAATCGCCATCGGCTATAAAAGGCTATAAGAAATTGTGCAGCCGGCTATAGGAGCTATTGAAAATCTTACAGCCGGCTTTAGGTCTATGGTATTTTGGAACACAGATTCTACTGCCAATTTTTACCAGGGTACGTATAAAGTAAACCTGGTACCAAAAATCACTGGATAAATGTCACTTAATTTAAATAGAAAATTCTTGAATTTGTTGCCAATGATAAATCAGCTCAGTTGAGGCCAGCAGCGCACTCATACCGTGTCCCCTCTAAACGAAATATGCACCAATTCAATTCCATTCCCTGTTTTCTCCGCGTCAAATAACGTCCAGACAAAATCGCTCGGTATTCTGATAGACCTTATCTTCAACTAGGTACCAAAAAACTTGCAAAACTCAATTTTGATCAAAGACTTGATTCCGAGCACACGATTTTACTCTTATTTCCATCCTCCCTTGTTCAACATGGAAATACACGAAACGATCTGGATTTCTGTTTCCCCTCCGTCTTTTCCTTCTGTTTTCATGTTCTGTGCTCTTAGTGAAATCCAGTCGCTTTCATGTTTCTCACCTATTGAAATACAAGCAAAACGAGCTATGACATGTAGCTGGGACGTCTGGGCTCTAATCTCTAGTCTCGAATTTCTAAAACTGCACTTTTGCGCCTCGTCTTCCAAGACCCTCAATTGTGGGAACTCCTTGTAGACGGTAACAGGAGAAATAAAGACGAGTTCACAAATTTTTGTCAACAAAAATTTTGACACAAATTCCTACAAGAGCGTTCTTGTGCAAGTTACAAAACGATCAATTCGAAGAGGAGGATAATTCACTCGTTGAACGGTCTGCATGACTTCAATGGGAAGGACGCTGCTTCATATAAACTGTTTGAGTCGAACTTCATTATATCGATGAAACGATGGTATCAAATTAAACGGCCGCAATTATTGTGCATCAGTTTCCGCTTATTACTTTGCACGCATAGGTACGTACGCACTGAGAGACCAGAATAGTTCAATGTAGCGTGTTAATAAATCGAAATTATATTCAAGAGGTTATTGCAAAGGTCAGTTTTTTTGTGAGAAAATTCGATACATAGTCAGCAATAGTATTTTCGCAAGGTCACCTAATTGAGATAGTTATTCTGTATCTAGATAATTAAGATCCATTTATACCTACAGTGTTTGTTTTCTCCTAAAATTACTGCTTACAGAATAAAAACAGACAAATTATGTTACTTCTAATAGCTGAGCATTACTAATTTTAAAATTCGATTTTCCGGGAAAATTGGTGAACGATGGAAAATAACGCAGATTATTTTCGGTCTTAGAGTTTAAGAGAGGGTAGTTATAGAAGTATGATACTAGTGCTAGGAGGGGAGTAAGAGGGATCGAATCAGGCACCTGGATGAAAAAGTTGTCCACCCACTCAGACGTAAAACAATCGGATCACTTTTTTGGGAGGGTTTAATGAGGTTAAATAGATTTTGTGAAATTTTGGAAAATATTCAATAATGCTTTGACGTTGTCTTTAAGTTATAATTTTTCCTCTTACAATGTCTAATAACATTTCGCCTTGGTACTGAAACCATCGTTTTTTTTAGCGGAGTGTGCATATTACTTTGATGATGTGATGAACTTAATTCGTTTTATCTAACATCAAGAGTCAGGACGACTCATCAATGGAGTTCGATGCTCGGTTTATAGTTGATGATTAATTTATGGGTGTCTTGTCAGATAATTCCGGTTCGCAACACACGCAAAGATATACAGGAGTGGAAGCATGCCAAATATTAAGTGTAGAGTAGTTCTATTCCTCTGTTCGAGATTCAGAGAGGTGAGTGACCTTAGGGATCGTTCATCAATTATTATTACGAAACGCACATTTTCGGCATTTTTGACCTCCTCCCTCCTTGAACGCTTTTGGAACGTAGAACCCTATTCTTTAACACGCACGACAAAATAGCGAAACGATCTCCTTGACTGCCCTCTCCCTAGAGCATTACGTAATTTATGAACGCTCCCTCAACCGAAAAAAATTCACCATTGTTATGCGATCGGTTGCAGTTTTGAAGCTGAAGGTTCTATATTTTAGAAAATCCCGAATGTACTAACGTGCGATGAAAAATTGATAAATCAAGATTACGCTGCGCTTACGAAACTTAATTTTTTTTAAAAAGTATTATACCCATTTTATTCGGATGTCACCCGCTGTATAAAAACGGAGACAATTTTGGAATATTTTGCCTTGCAGACAATATCGAAATTCCGGTTATTTATTATTGAGAGTAATTAGATTTAAAGGAATAAAAGAGATTAGCATGGAAACATTTGTATATCCAAGCAGAGAAGCATAGTTTGCCGTGCTCAAAACCTGAATTATTGGAATGAAAACTTTCCGCCTTTTAATATTTTCCTTAATTATTTTACTTCTATTTTTTATTTATTTATTTTTCTAAAAGACTTGATCAGTCCGCGAATCTCTTTTTTGAAGTAAGTAGTCGAATCTGATCAGAGAGATAAAAAAAAGCCTTCTAAGTTGCACAAATTGCAGTAAATTGCCTTTACGTGAAAAAATTATTGCTAACGCATCGGCATGTTGTGTATGTTGCCTATCGACCGATTGAAGGGGCGCCTCTTATTGAGAATTGCAACGGAACGATGCGGAACTGAAATAAGTCGCAATTTTTCATCGCAACACTAATTTCGTACCGCTCTGACAAATGGAACTCACATATTGATTGTTCAAAATCCGGTTCTTACGAAGATATCCTTTTTGGAGGGAGGTGCAAAGGTGCACTCACTCTGAGATTTTTAATAGTGTTGGATCCCTAATGCAGTTGCTCTGCGACAGTTTATAACATTGACTGTGGTCCAAGATTTTAGAATTGTTGAATGTCACCGCGTGTTGTTGCACTTTTATTTATAACACACATCTGCGGATTTAACGCTGCAGTCTTAATCAAGAGAAAATCACACTTAAATCGGGATTTCCGTTTTATCGAAGGTCAAGAGCGAGAGTATCAATCGAACCCGCTGGTACGCGGGCAATTCCCCCGCGTCTCTCATTCTGATTATGCTGACGTCATATTAATCAATTAACTTCACGCTGATAATAATTAGTGTGAGTGTAAGAACGTTGCGCGTTGAATTTTACTTAAGTCGAACGCTACCCATCCAAAAACATATATCTTACCAGAAAGAAGCGCGCTCTGAAGGAAATCAAATTCTTTATAAATCACACTTAATGAAAAAATGTCCATTAAATCCAATACAATTTTAGTGAAAGAAGAAATGTGTGTTTTGCAATATGTGACCTGGTGCACTAACTGCACTACGTCCAAATTTCGAATTAAAGAGGGTCTTAGTTCTCCGCAGGGAAACGGATATGAGTTGCGGGGGAAAAGAAAATACATAAAAAAATCTTGATTGTGAGGCTTTAAAATTATTGCTCGCTGATCAATCTCTTCGACAGAACATATACCGACTTCCATGATGAGAATTTGTCAGCAAGTATCTTGAATAAATGTGAAGCTTAAACAATCAGCACGTTAATCGGCTCATAAAGTCGTAACTTTAATAAGCAATTTTTTTTTTCAACAGGAATTCCATCACTATTAAGATCACTAATCGGATCTCTTGCCAGCTGCATCAGATTTTCTTTCTGGTACTGCTGTGTCTCCTTGAAGCTCCGGCAGGTTACGCCACCATCAGAAACAGTGCGCAACCGAGGGTCGATGCAAGAGCAGGTAAAATACCCGTTCTATATCTTTTCGTTCAAGTTGACACGCTATTGAAAAGATAAATTCAGAAGATCTTGGGTCTGAAGAAATCGGACTATGAAATTCCACCTATAAACTGTCTCCCGTGTTCTGAAGGATGATTTTCGAAAGATATCCGTGGTAAAAATTGACCGACCAATAGGACCTGCGTTTCAAAATACCATAGGAGTTCTTATAGCTGACTGAAGAAGGCGATAGAAAATCATATAGTTGGCTGTAGAAAGTGGAAAAAATCATACGGCCGGGCTACACGAAGCGATAAAAAATTATACAGCCGGGCTATAGCCCCTATCGCCGGGCTTCATACTTTATCGCCTGGCTGTTGCTTTTTCGCCATCGGCTATAAAGGGCTATAAGAAATTGTGTAGAAATTCGTGTGCTTTGTAAATCCTTAAGTTTGTACGGAATCACCTTAATATTTACAAAACGCACATTATATTTTCCTTTACTACATATTTTTTTTCATCAATTAAAATGAGAATAATCCATACAGAGTGTGCAAACATTTCAAAGTCATGAGTTGAAAAATGCTGACTCTACAAGATTAAATATTAGAGCATAACACAAAGCGGAGCGGCGGCGCAATGGCGCCTACAAACCTAACAGGGATATTTCACGCATTGCGCAATGCGTGAAGTATCCCTGTTAGGTTTGTAGGCGCCAATGCGCGTTCCGCGGTGGCTGCCCGCCCGCCGCGCCGCGCCGCAGCGTACCACGGCGCTTGAAGCAACTATTTCACACCAGATGTATTGCACAGTATCAAACGAAATTGAAGGCGCTCCAACATATTAGGAATGGCAGGCATCCTTCAAAAGTACGGAGCTTTCCTCGCAAAATAAATCAATATACTACGGCCCAAAAAGAGAGCGGTAGTCCAGAAACTCAGCAGCCGTAGCATCCGTCCTGTCATCAAGTCCTAGCATCCGTAGTTAGTCAGGTTTAGCATACACTTTATCCAGGCTGTTGCTTAATCGCCATCGGCTATAAATGCTATAAGAAATTGTGTTGCCGGCTATAGAAGCTATTTGAAATCTTACAGCCGGCTGTAGGTCTATGGTATTTTGGAACACAGATTGTACTGCCAATTTTTGCCAGGGATGATTTATTTGTGTACCAATGGAGAGTGCGCAGCTCCAATTTATTAGGTATATGTAGAAATTGTGTACATTAGCATTAATTACCTCTCTCCTTAGTGAGCTCACAAATCCAAAAAAAAATCAAATTTCTTCATTGGACAAACCCGTGTAATGCGAAAGGTAGGTATAGATAATTGAACACAATTGGACCGCGGCAGAAAGGAATCAGGTCACACTAGCTTTTGCCAAATTTAACTGGACAATTTAATTTTTTAACAAGAAAACGTTTGTGCGGAATCCTTTATAAATTTTAAGAAATTTGCCTTATACTATGCAGACAATTCACCGAAAGTTGCACAAAAATCTTCCCACCGTTTTCATGAAAAAAATTAAATTGCCCAGTTAAATTTGGCAAAAATTAATGTGACCAGCGGGCCGATTATTGAAATGATAGACAAAGCTATAGACAAAGATGACAAAAGGGATATAGAGGGAACCTATTGGTGGAAGTTGGTAGTTGCAATGGACAAAGGCAGTGGGTAATAGACTAACTAACGGCAACCCACGAGAAACCCGACAGTTAGTCCATACTTTTCTCCCGTAGTCTATAAGAACCACACATTTCGACCAATAGGATCGCTCCATACCTCCTATGTCTTCTTTGTCTATAGCTTTGTCTATAAATTTCAATAATCAGCCCGCTGATTCCTTTCTGCTTAAAGTGGTCTATTTTTACATAAACAAAAGTCGTATCTTGAGTTTCGGTGCAACCCATCAAATTTTCTTTTAGAATCCAATTCCAGGCCACCGTGAACACGAAAGTAGTGATTTTGCTATTGATGGAAGAGTGGCTTTAACTTGACAACTTTCTCCCTCAATGTCATTCTAAACCGTGTCTTTTGATTTATTGTTTGATAAAAATGACATTTTAAGCCTTCTACGGAAGAATTTTTTGATCTCAGCACCTAGATGATTCAATTGATGTTACTTACGATCAGCAGATACCTCAGGAATTTAACTGGTCTTTTCGCACTTTTCTATTGGTCATTTTTATCAAGGCGGCAGAAAGGAAAAGCAGTCACTTACAATCTCCCCCTGGGTTTCTGTTGCAGAGACCAATCTTGATTCGTGTCGCAACCCTCGCAACGAAGTAGGCACGTGCATTAACATCCTCCAATGCTCCTCAATGGTGGAGCTCCTAAAGAGCTCCCGTGAGAATCCAACAGCGGTCGACTTCCTACGCAAAGCGAGCTGCGGCTACGAAGGCCGATATCCCAAAGTTTGCTGCACGGACGCGCTGAGCATCAGCACCTCGCAGCCGAATATCTCACCATTCCCTGACTTTACTTCCACAACTACTTGGAGCAGAAGGCCAGAGACGACTACTACTTCGTGGAACAGGAGGCCAGAGACAACATCCTCCTCGTGGGATAGAAGGCCAGAGACGACAACCTCTTCATGGAACAGGAGGCCAGAGACAACGTCTTCCTCATGGAACAGGAGGCCAGAGACGACCACATCCTCATGGAGCAGGAGGCCAGAGACGACGTCCTCCTCGTGGGACAGGAGGCCAGAGACGACCACCTCCTCGTGGAATAGGAGGCCAGAAACGACGTCTTCTTCGTGGAACAGGAGGCCAGAGACAACGACCACAGGGAGCAACAGAGGAGACTCGTGGTCCAGCACGTCGTTCCCGAATAAGAAACCAGAGAGGTTGACAGACCTGTCGGGTTTGTCGGGGCAGGAGCGGTGTGGAACAAGCAAGACCGGTCAAGCGAACAGAATAGTGGGCGGCCAGCCTGCCGAGCTTGGCGCCTGGCCCTGGATAACGGCTTTGGGCTACAGAAAGTGGACCTCCCAATCGCTCAAGCCCAACTGGCTTTGTGGGGGAGCGCTCATCTCCACACGACACGTCATCACCGCCGCGCACTGTATCAGTGCCCGCTCAGATCTCAATCTGTAAGTGGATAGCATTTTGCAATTGGACTACATTTTGCAATCTGGACCTATAAATTCCGGCCCAGTTTTACAACAACGTATGTGCCATTATTTTCCCTATGCACATAAGTGTTTTTTCAGATAAGCCAGAATTTATAGGTTCAAATTGCAAAATGCAGTCCAATTTTTAGTCAATTTTTGAAAATTCTCAAATCCAAAATGGCGGATGTGGCCTAAGATGCTATCTTGGCTCCTGTTCGATCGATCTCGCTGATTTTTGGTACTGAGGGGTATTTCTGGACGGGAAACTCGAATTTCTGGTCAAATTTTGGAAATTCGAGAATCCAAGATAGTGGATGTGGCCTAAATTGCTCTACCGGCTTATGCTCGATCTATCGTGGTGAATCTTGGTACCAGGGAGTATCTAGGGACGGGAAACTCGAATTTTTGGTCTAATTTAAAAAAATCGAAAATCCAAGATGGTGGATGTGGCCGAAAATGACCTTACTCAGGGAATCTTCCAGTCCTCGGAGACACGCGTTTAAAGGGGAGCTCAGAAGACGCAACCTCAAACTTGTTTTTCGTGGATTGAAATTCGAAAAATATCGGCGAAAATCCTTGTGGCTTATGAGTAGTAAATACTTCAAAAAATGCAAAAATCAAAAATTACTGATTCAATCTCATCCAGTGTTACATGGTCGATGTCAATATGGTTCGCATTAAAATTCTAAGGTTGAGAACGCGCTTTGATTGAATCAATAAACGAAATGTGATTCTGTGAGTGGAATTCGTCCCATCAATTTCAGGCATAGGCATCAAATCTACTTGAAAGCACCAAACTGTGCGGTCGAAAACCGAATCATTAGGGGGGCAAGGGACCTGCTCGTAATTAGGTCAGTGGATTTTCAACCCTTTTTCCAATAGAGTATCATTATCCAATTGAATCCACGTTATATGTATCTTTCTGTAGAATATGTCTTATTTTCATCGATTTTTGAATTTTTGTTTTTTACTACTGACCAATTTTTACAATTTTCCAGATACATCGTGAGATTGGGAGAGTTAGATCTCGATTCAAACGTAAAAGATGGCGCTTCCCCGGTGGACATCGAAATTGCAGAGAAAATCGCACACCCTCTCTTCAACACGTCAACGTTTGTCAATGATATTGGGGTTTTACGCCTCAAAAAAGATGTCGTATTTAATGGTTCGTTTCTTGATTTTTTCATTAACAATAAAAAAGAGGGAATAAACATAATTATTGTAATTGAAAATGAATGAAATTATTCAGATTCTAACAGCAATGATTCTGAGAAAAGGCAATTTTACAAAGGATGTACTTTGCGATGGTGGAACTGTAAAATTGCGTATCGTTGTCTGTGGAGTTTCAAAATCTCCGCGTCCATTTTATTTCATTTGGAATACATTTTGCAATAAGGAACCACTATCTCTGGCTTTCCTATAAAAGCACATATCTGCATAGGGAAACCAATGGCATGTATGTTATTTATAAAATGGGCCAGAAATAGTGATTCCTTGTGGAAAAATGTAATCCATTCAGGAGAACGATCGAACTCCTTTGCTTAAAATACTCACAGGATATCCCTCACGCTCGTAGAAAGGAACAATTAGGGGAATTCCTAAGAAATGACGTTGAGGACTATAATTTTCGAATTTAAAAAGTAAAAGCGAACGGAACAACTGTAGACTCTTCGGTATCATCAGTTTAGATATTTCATTTCAACAAAAAAAGCTACAGTGGATATCAAATATAACGACCTATCGGGCGTGCCAACGCAATTTGACCGGTTCCGGCTGAACTCTGTTTTAAACGATATATCGACGGTGAAACTACCAAACCACGTATCTCGTTTGCGGTGTTTAAAAATCTACGCTCACATTTTATTTTTTGGAAGTAGACCAAATCAATATCATTCCTTGAAATTTTCACAGAATTTTCTCCGCGCGAAGAGGAAAAATCACAGAAATTTTCAAGACTGGACGTTAAATAGTTTTTCATTTAAAAAATAAAGTATGACAGGAAGTCTGCGACGTCGCAAACCGAGATACGTGGTTTGGTAGTTTCACCGTCGATATGTATTTACGTATTGTTAATAACGACATCGCATATAGCGACATAACGGCCTCAGCGACGGAATTTCCTCGATATTTCAGGCTAGGCTATCGACTAATACGACCGGAGCATCGCCCATTGAGGCAATGCACTTTTAATGATCTCTATTTAGGACTATCGATACATATGTAAATCAAGAGAAGAAAATTAGTTGGATTTTATGTAGCTCGGTTTAAATGACAGTAATCCATTCAGTGTGCGCAAAAAATCCACCCCAGGAATAAGTTTTTTTTATTTTTTTATTTTTGATTTTTCACCTTGTGATGGGGCTTTTGGCTTTCGTGCATCGGCACAAACAACCAAGCAAGATGAGAGCTGCTTGAGTCCGTCCGTTTGAGTAATAGCGCCAAACACAGTGCGGTCGACGTGGAACGCATATTAACGCCTACAAGACCGTAAGAATACTTCACGCATAGCGCCAAACACAGTACGGTCTCCTAGATCGGCTTGAAACGCATATTAGCGCCTACGAGACTGTGGGAATACTTCACGCATTGCGCCTAACACAGTACGGTCTCCTCGATCGGCTTGGAACGCATATTAACGCCTACGAGGCTGTAGGAATACTTCAGGTATTGCGCCAAACACAGTGCTATCAGCGTGAAACACATATCGATGGCTAACGAGCAATACTGCCTATCTGCAAACGGACGCTTTTGTAGAGCGAAGAGAAAACTTCGCAATTTCGCTTAAATCTAAATATCTATTATAACAACTATCGGCTATAACGACCGAAAAAGACCGATCCCTTAAAGGTCGTTATATTTGATTTCCACTGTAAGTGAAACTAGGCAGAGTCGTAAATTTTGGAGACCTGATTCAAAAAGCGGCAAAAATGATGACCGACAAAACTTACCGATTTCTGTTTTCAGATTTGATCCAACCAATTTGCTTGCCTTTTGCACCTGAAATCAAAAGCAACAAGTGGGTCAACTATGAGCCTTTCGTGGCTGGATGGGGAACAGTAGCCAGTAGTAAGTATCTTTAACCATTATTGTTTAAACAATGTTTCTCTAGAAACGCTTTGTTCTTCGTAGTCGATTTTGGAAATTTTTATCACAAAATTCTGTACTTCCTTCCCATGAGAAATTAATAAACATAGACCCCTCCTCACCATGAAAAATTTCTGGCTACGCTATGATCACCAGTTTTTCGAGAAATCAGCTCAACATAATATGCATTATTTTTAAAATACTTGTTGATCTCTTTACTTATTGAGGAATCATCGCAAGGCAAACCTTAGGACTCTATGTAGGTACCCTGTGTGAGGATTTTATCCTTTTGAAGTTTGAACGAGAAACTTGGTGTTTCAGACGGACCACCTAGCACGGCCCTTCGGCAAGTTCAAGTACCTGTCGTGGATAACGAGGAGTGTAAATACGACTACAGGAATATCCAAACAGCCGTCATTGATGATCGAGTCCTTTGCGCAGGTCTTGCGCAAGGTGGAAAAGATTCGTGCCAGGTAAGACATTATAGTAACATATAAATGGACGTATTTATGCTAAAAGGAACTATGTCACCCGCAAACCCCATGCACATAGTTCTTTTTAGCATAAATACATCCAAATTTAGTGGGACGACCGCTATCCATTAAGCATAAGAACACAAGTACTCGAAGTGATTCGATGGAGAGAAAATAGAGAAAACGGGTCAGCATAGCGAAAGTACACAAAAACACAGTTGAAACTCTCGGAGTAGAATCAAGTGGCAAAGCGTGAATGATCGATTATCGATATTTCCCCATTTGAAGCTATGGTAAAGAATCGATTCCGGAGCAGTTGAAGCTTTACGGCTGCAGCACTCGTAACTTTCGGCCTCCGAGCCCGAAACGGATGTCACCTCTATATAGCCCAGAACTTTTCTTTCGGTGCACAGTGGATCGAGACAATAGGAGAGCTCGGACAAAATTTGGAACCTTTAAACGCTTATAACTCCGTTAAAACGAAAATGTGGGGTTCTATGAGTGGTTTCATTGGTTTCCGTGTAAAATTTTCTTCTAAAATCACCCCTTGTAATTTAAAATGTAACAAAATAAACATCATAATTTGCAGTTTCAGTAAAAAATTTCATGTCCGACCTCTCTGATTGACTCGATCCACTGTGCGGCGAACGTTTTGGGTTTTATTTTATTTTATTTTTTATTTTTTATTTTTTTCAAATTTTTGAAGCTTGTTTCTTGTTTATGTTTTTCAACCTTGCTTACTGACTTAGTCTGACTTTATAATTAACCAGGGTGACAGCGGTGGTCCACTGATGATTCCCCAAGGACTGACGTTCTATTTGATCGGAGTCGTTTCGTACGGCAAGAAATGCGCAGAGCCTGGATTCCCCGGAGTTTATACTCGCGTTTCCAACTACCTTGACTGGATTGCCCAGACAACCAAATAGTTTCCTCCAACCACAAATTTCTCCGCATAACCGCGCGAAGACTCGACGCTATCAAGATTTCACGAGCGTAGAGACTTTAAACAGGAATTACCGAGCAAATGATCAAAATATCATTAAAAGAAGGGAGTATCACCGAGAAAAAAGATTGGTAGAATTTACCATTCCTTCACACTGTATTTCACACAGCGTCAATTCAGAGTCAATTCTGCCAGAAGAATGAAACGTTACTATATACTGGTACACTGCCGTGCTAAGGAAAAACGCCGTATGAACCCTCAGGCGTTGCCAAATTTCCATTTATAAAACACGAATTTCCTGGTAAAATTATGAATATTTTTCTTTCAACTTTGCAGATCATGTTGTTTGCAATTTCACATAAAGTTACTGAAAATTACAAGGAAGAATATTCATAACTTTGCTCAAAAATGAACATTTTATCAAAGGAAATTTGGCAACTCTCGAATGTTCATACGGCGTTCTTCCTTAGCACGGCAGTACAGGTATCCATTTCTCTGGCAGAATTGACTTGAAGATTGGTAGAATTTTCCATTCTTTCACGCTAAGTGATATACAGCGTGAAAGAATGGTAAAGTGTACCAATCTTTTTTTTCAGTGTATAAATGGCCAACAAAGTCGAGTCAAACCTAACGTTCAAAGCGAAAATGATAGGTTAAGCGTAGGTTTAAAAAAAGCCCATCAAAACGGGTCAGCGATGCGACTGTTGAGCATTGCCAGTCAAAACTAAGAACAGCGGGCCGATTGTCGTTGTATCGTGAAGTCAATAAATTCATTAATTTGATTTCAATCGCCAGTCTATAGACTAACCAGTCTAGCATCCACATTACCATTATGTCTGTCCTGTAAATGTCGACGATACGAAACTGAGCCTGAGTAGTTCATCCGTCATGAATGCATCATTATTTTAAAAACGGATGACCTTTTTTTGCATATTCAGTAATTTTTATCACGTGGGCCAAAACAAATCAAATTCCAAAGCAGCCTTGCCTCGCATCAGAAGTGTTAAGACTGAGTTAAGAGGAAACCCGAACCTTAAAATAATTACTTAAGTGCCATCGTTGAATCCTAATAAACGATTTTTACCTGTTTAACCGGGAACGCACCGCAGGTATATCTCATTCAAAAATTACTTTCCCTTCATTTCTGGTTCCAACTGAATGTAATTGTATTAATTACTCCTGAACTTACAATTAATCAAAATTTGTATTGTAATGTTCTGACATCGGAAAAAATAAAATACACTTGACGAAAACACGATCCTTACTTTCTCCTTTGACTTTCTCGTGTTTGTTCCCTGATGCCCTGGCTGAAATGGTAAAAACAAAAGCCATTTTTATGTGCGAAAAAGTAGAAAAAGTCCTCGTTAATAATTGGACGTATTCAAATGGTAAAAAGAACTTTGGGCGATTGAATTAAACCATACGGAAATCTGACGCACGCAAATCGTATGCACATACTTTATTTTGGTTTCATTTAGTTTCATCACAGAAAAAGAAAGTGCAATCACATGCACTGAACTTTGGTGTTTCATATTATTTCAACCATTCAGTTTGTTCAACTAAACTTGAGTTTAGTTGTACTAACAAACTAAAGTTTGTGTAACCAAATGCATGTGACCAAATTTCACTTAACAGTTAAACTTGACTTATGAGTCCGATTGCAAAAGCTAAAAATTCGGTTTGACAAATCGAGTACCTTGGTACAAATGGAGCATACCAAATGTTCTGTTCATATACCTATCCGAACTTCGTTTTTCGTAAATGGTTTCCTTAAGCATCTGAAATACGTCAAAAAGTGCCTAGAACGAGGATCTGGCCCACACATGCAAGTGAAGTTGCCCGTGTTCTGAGTTGAAGGCGTTTCAACGACATGATGCAAGTGAAGTTGCCTGTGTCCTGAGTTGAAGGCGTTCTAACGACATGATACAAATGCACGCGCACTGCGTTAACTGCGTAGCGCGCAGTATAGTCTGAGACCGTGAAAAGTTTTTTTTTATTCATACATTGTGCGGGTGTATGTTGCATAATTTGTCGTAAATCACAAAATATTATTGCAAAAAAAGAGTCTTCCTCTTCTTCTTCCGCGAACGACTAGGGCATAGCCCTGTTTGACAGGCCATCCGGTATCGAGCACAATAAACTATGTAAATATGAAGGATCTAAAAATCACTAAAAATAAAGGACAAACTCCGCCTGTAGCTGTGTTGTCTTTGAGGTAGTACTGCCGCACAGTGGATCAAGTCAATGGGAGAGGTCGGACAAAATTTTGAAACTTTAAACTCTCATAACTTCATTTATACAAAACTTTGAGGTTCTCAAAGTAGTTTCTTTGGTTTTCTCGTAACATTTTCTTCCAAAAACATCCCTTGAAATTTAATATGTGATGGAATAAACATTACAATTTGCAGTTTTAGTAAAACATTTTATGTCCGACCTCTCTAATTGACTCGATCCGCTGTGAGCCGGTCCAAAGCCCGGGCTAAGGAAGAGGGTTCGAAGGTGAGGCTAGCAACCTGCCTCCATCCGGCGAGACACCCAATCAGCTCAAATAAAAAAACAAAAGAATCAAAAAACAAAATGAAATGAAATGTCGCAATTCGATGGTGAAACTGCCACGTATCTCGGTTTGTGACTTTGCAGACCTCTTGTCATAATTTATTTTTTAAATGGAAAACCACTCAATTCGTAAAAACTTCCGTGATTTTCCTTCTCTGCGAAGAAAACTCTGTGAAAACTTCGAGGAATGATATTGATTTTTTTTTCATTTACAAAAATAAAATGGGAGCGGAGATTTTCAAACGCCGCAAATGAGATACGTGGTCTCGTAAGTTCACAGTCGAATTGCAATTGAGTTGTCTTGGAAAAAGTAGTAGCATTAACTGCAATCCAATCAAGCCCCTTGGGCTCTCACCTCTTTGAATAATAGACTTTCATTGAAGAAAAAGAAAAGAAATCCTAACTGCATCGGATACCATTAGGCCATGCTGTAGTAATCAAAAATCAATACCAATTCAATCTCAGAAAATAGTACTTTGAACTTGGCCGAGACAAGATTGAACAAACCCTCGATTGAGCTCAGCCAGTATCATTGCAGCCCACATATTTCATCAATTTTTATGTTCCTCCAGTCATTACTCCCACTGCTATTTAAAATTTTATTACGTCATTAGAGGACAAGTAAATTCACAACTCATGCACCTCGGTGTAGTGCGTTTATGCCAGTGGGAACTGCAATAAGTATAGTGTGTAATCAAACATATTCACGGTGAAACGTCAAAACCACGTATTCCGGTTTGCGACGTTGCAGATCTCTTGCCACATTTTATTTTTAAATGGAAAACGACTCAAGGTGGATACTTAAAAACTTCCGTGATTTTTCTATTCCGTGCGGGGCAAATTCTGAATAAATTTCAAGGCATGGTGTTGATTTTTTCTTCTTTAAAAAAGTAAGAAGGAGTGGAAATTTTAAAACACTGCAAAGGGAATAAGTGGTTTGGGAGTTCCACCGTCGATAAATGGCAAACTGGAGGGATTGCCGCAGAGTATCGGTAACAAAGTTTGTATCATACGTATATATATTTATAAAGAGAGGTCCTAGGTTCGCTGAGGGGCAATATTGCAACAGTTAAAGAGGCTTTACATATTGGACTTGTCTCGAGAGAGGCGCATATTATGACGATATACTCTTAGGCTATATAGCATCAAAAAAAGAGGATACTACTATTGTTGCAGTGGAAATACAATTATAAACTGGAAACTCAGCTTCTTGCCTCAAATTATGACAACTTCAGGATCAACATAATGCTTCATCTACGCATGCACGAGTCTAGTAACATGATCGAAGTTCCTTGCATACTCTTATAAATCCTTGATCTTTTAATATTTGGTATGAATTTAACTCTACTCTTCTTTTTTTTCTTCCGCCTTTTGCTTGGAAGGAGTTGCAAAATTAATATCTCACCAAAGACGTTTTGACGGGAACAAAAACACCGTGGAGATCACTCACTTGAGTGCCTTATCATGCGTCAAATGTTAATTATTATTGTATCTTTAATTGTTTTCGAAGCCCAGATAGGACATGCCACCAGACGAAGTATTGCGGAATTAAGAATCGACACAAAAGGTGAAAATTAAGTTTTTACTTTCTTGTACAATGATACGCATATATTATACTATTGCACTATTATACGCAAGAAAGGATTAGTCAGATTCACCCCAGTAGATTGGCTTTACCTAGTCGCTACATACTGACGGTGAAACTCCCAAATCACCCGATTCTCGGTTTGGGACGTTACGGATCTCTCGCCACATTTTATTTTTAAATGGAAAATGACTCAATATCAATGCTTAAAAACTTCCATGAATTTTTTTCTTTGTGCGAGGAAAATTCTGAAAAACTTCAAGGAATTTTGTTAATTTGTTCTCGTTAAAAAAAATTAAAAGGTAGCGGAGCTTTTAAAACACCGCAAACCAGGCACGTGATTTGGAGGAGTTTCACCATCACTTTATAAACACCGCTTTCACAGTGATCCGCGACACCTATCCTAGTAGCACAGACTGCAATAAGTAGCATATTATTATTATACATAGTAAAAATATTGCGATTCAACTGAGTGTTGTGTATGTTGCCTAGCTCCTATTTGAAGGGGCCCCATTTATTGAAACTTATTGCAATAAAATTGAAAATAGTTGCAGTTATGGGTTTTGTTTACATTGGTACAACTTTGGGGCTCCGTGATAGCCGACCAATCAGGGAGCTGCACACTTTTTCTGTAGTAAAAGCATTGAGATGGCAATACTCTCCCGTATTCAGGTACTTTATTCTCCTTGGACTCTTTGCTTCAGAAACCATCCTTGACCAGCAGCTCGGAGAGACCGCCTTTTCATGGGACCAGACATCAGAAGTAACCTTATCACGGACAAATGGGACGGACTCAATGGTTTCAAAAAGCACGAGACCAGTTTCGTCGAGCACGGCGCCGTTTCAAGTTACAAAATCCAGGATGATAGTGTACGGCGAAAGTGCCAAGCTTGGCACATGGCCCTGGATAGCGGCTCTTGGATACACTAAGTGGTTCTCGAAAAAGATCAGATGGGGCTGTGGAGGATCACTTATTTCCACGCGACACGTTCTAACCGCCGCGCACTGTGCCAGTGTTCCTTTTCCGCAAAGACTGTGAGTATACCTTGCAGCCCGGACCACAGCCCACTTCCGACCTAGTAGCCCAGTACCATTATAGGAGTTCATGACTGTAAGAAAGAGGTCAGAAGAGATTAAAGAAGATTCTTATGAATTTTTGGTCGATGAATTCGAATTTGATATTTCCCACCAAATCGGCTGCCTAAAGCGTTCTCCGGAAAAGTCGGAAAACTGCCAAGAATGACGTTTTTACGCTGCATAAATTCTGAATATTCTGATAACTCTCTTGAATTTACAACCCCCTTATGCAGGCCTTCCACATCCCATCTCGGGCCCTGGTGCCGAGGTTCTAAGGTCCAGGGCCCTATGAATGCCACCCTCCCCCGCCCCATTAACACCAGAAAAATAATTGTAAATAAATTGAAAATCAATAAGGTTAGAATAAAGAACAAGTAAATAAAGTAAATAAATGCTAATTCAGTTTAAGGACAGAAATTTATTCACATTCAAAAAATAATTTATGTACAAAAAATCTTGAAAATAGATAGAAATCTATAAAGAAGTAAGAGGAATTTTACAGTGCCCCAGCGTGCTTTTGAAAATTTATTGACCTCCTGCGAGATTTTTAGGGTAAATTTTTCACTTTTCCTTACGAGACTATAGGGTTGTATGCGAATTCGAAGTTGTGTGTCACGAGCCTCGGTACCAGGGATCCAGTATCCCCACCCTTATGGCGGGCCTGCCCTTTTGAGATCTATTGGTCCGGACTAGTGGTAGAGCACTGTTTCATCCCCGTTGAAGATCCTTCCGCTAATATTAAAGTAAAAGTTCACATTGGTTCAAAAAGGTATTCCTTCTGTGACTCGTCAAGAAGCTCTTTTACAAGAAAAATATGCGTGAGTCATCTTAATAATATTGTTAATGATCTACAGGGCCGGATTTACCTGCTTGCCGCCCATGAGCCGCCTGTATTTTGCCGCCCCCTTCTCAATCGTTGTGAAACATCAATAAAAACCATCAAGTGAACGTGCCGGAGGGGGAGGGGTGCATGACGCGTTTATTTGTGTTGGACACATTTTTTTTGCGAAAGCCCTGTTAACACTACTAGCAAAAATTCACGTAACTTGGCGCGAAAGTTAAGTTCCGTAAACCTATCTCTGTGTGGACAAGGCCTTCCATTTATATGAAATGAACGAAAATATTATGAAAGAGCAAACATAAATGTGCTTTAATAATTTCAACTTCCACCGCCGCGCCACGCCGCGCTGACTGCACTGTTAAATGCGTGAAGTATTCCTACAGTCTTAATGCGCCAAGCGTTTCACACCGACCGCTGCTGCACGCACAAAGTTTGACGTAATGCGGGAAGTATTCATGCAGTCTTGTAGGCGCTATGCGTTCCACACCGCCGCTCGCTGCTGACCGCAGCGACCGCACGGTCTTTGACGCAATGCGTGAAGTATTCGTGCAGTCTTGTAGGCGCTAATATGTGTTACATGCCGACCGCCGCGGCGCGCCGTGGGTTTCTCCTGTTCACCTTAAGTTCTCGTCATCATTGCGCTCTGCGCCGCGCCGTTTCAGGCCAAATTCTGTGTTCGGTTTCTCTCTTAGTCTTAACTCGACTAATTAAAGATGCTGTCTATTTAATTGTATCACAGGAGGACGACAAAATTAGAAATATACTCTCGGAAAATGAGAGATTATGTCACTTTTTCTCGTTTGTAATTTTTTCTCTGAATCCGATTTTTCTTCATAGCTAAAAAAATAGCAAAATATGTCTATATGCGCCGCGGCCCATGTGGCCAGCCCCCAAAATCCGACCCTGATGATCTAATTTTAAAAATTTTACAGTTACGTTGTTCGATTGGGCGAGTTAAATTTAGACCCCACAGTGGAAGATGGAGCATCGCCGGTAAACTTTTCAATCGAGAGAATAATCGTACATCCAGGCTTTACCTCCAGTACATTGGTCAATGATATCGCTGTTTTACGACTGGCACAAGATGTTACACTCAGTGGTGTGTTCTCTTTAGAGTTGTTCCTATTCATTTAAAGAAACACAGTAAGAAGATAAAATAAGTTGGTAAAGTCACTCATTAATTCTTCTGGAGGAAACGTGCTCTTTGATTGTCTCCATCGTGTTTCAGCATCATACTAAACCAGAGGGCGACGCTCCCTGAGGCACCTCGCGCGTCGCGCTTCAGGCGTTATGTTTTACACATTAATTTCATGATTTTATGTTATACAATAAGACTATATTAAGTAAGAAAGGAATTAAAAGATGGGTAAACATGGCAAAAGGTAACGACCACCGAAGAGCACGTGTTGCCTGCACTGAAATTGGAGGCGAACTGATACAGCGTGAGTGTAATTTTTTCCCGTTCGGCAAAATGCAATTTTTTTAAGAGTTCTAAGTAAGCTTGTAATTTCACGCGATGATAACACTATTCGACGACAGAGAGAGGGTCGGGGGAGGGGAAGAAAGAGGGGGGAGAGAGAGAGAGAAATTTAGGTTGCCGTTTTTTTGGAACCTAAAGACACTTGAAAGTAGAGGACTTAATGTAAGTGATCTTTGAAAAATCCATAAATCGACCGGTCCATCTTATTTCACTAGAAACATTGAAGTATTCGTCACGAAAATTAGTTGGTTGATCCAAGAACAGAATTTTGGAAGCAATCGATGAAAACGATGATCAGTGAAGTTCATGCTATTTTTCTTTCCAGGTTTGATCAAACCAGGAAATTTGCCTTCCAAGCCAGAATTCGAAGACAACAAGTGGGATGGATATGATGCCGTTGTGATTGGATGGGGCTCTTATGACTCTCAAGGTAAGTGTTATCGTTTTTCGATACTATTTATACAACGTTAATTTGAAAAACGCCGCCATACTAAAAACGTGGGGTATTTAACACCCATCAATATAGTAGTAGACTGATGAGTGGCAAAAGTGGCATGCATCATTGACGCCGTGATCATTATGATGCCGCGGTCATTTACGAGTAAAATGTGTATTATATGTTCTGGTTAAAAATGGTGAGGCGTCAAAGCGAGCACTGGTGGCAAGAAACATATCGTAACGAACTAGCCGAAATAACTCCACACTGCCCATCGCTAAGCCTTTCGGAGGTGAACTCCTTATATTAGCACCTAGAATATTTCTCCTTAAAGCAAGTTTTTGCGCTTTACTCTATTCATTCGTTTCAAGGCAGTAAATGCCATCTCACTAAAAGTCCTTAGTTACTTTTGACGAGGAGCAGGCCTCTAATGTTTTGACTTACTTTGGATAGGAATACCGTTATCAATGGCGTTCAGAATGCTACTAATTTTGTTTTCGTTGATGATTCTTCTACATATATTATCGGCTTTTATTTTCACAGTTAATTGCTGTCGATTTTCAATACGCCAAGACGGAGCTCTGGCTTTCAGTATCACAAAAGGCAGACAAATATGTTTTCTCTATTAAAATTATCCTCGCCTCGTCAATGGACGATTTTTTTTTTATCTTTCCAATCATCCTGTGATGTTTAAGGTTTTGCTCATACTTTAGGCTTTAACAACACCTCATTGATATTGCAGTCCTCAGCCAAAGTAATGCTCTTCAACAAGTCCAAATCCCCATATGGAGTATCGAGGATTGTAGAGCCATCTACGCTCCACTGGGACCCGCCATTGATGATCGAGTCGTGTGCGCAGGCTCCAAAGAAGGAAAAGGGGCATGCAAGGTAAAAAATTTAGAATTTTGACGTCCATGGAAAAAAGGCTGAAGCGAGGAAAACTTTTTAGGAGAGCAATTTTTATCAAGATGGGCTAGAAAAGCAGAATCAACAAAAATAATTTAAGTTTTCCTATGGATATGAAAATGAGAAAACTCTAAAAAATCAATATTCTGATTCGTTTGTGATTTTTTTTTAAATAAATGAAAATCAACCAAAAGATCTTAAAATTTCCGGTGAGTATTTATGAACAAGTGAATACAATTCACAGAAAGTTCCTGAGGGATTTTAGTCTACAGCAGCTGAAGAAGTAAAACGTGGGCGTAGATTTGCGACTTCGCATAATTTGATGACTTTTTTTTCAATTGGACGTATTTCTATCAAACGGAACTAAGCGCCAATTTGAGTTCCTTTTGAGAAATTTAGAATGCCGGATAGCGCGTTCTTTCAAATGGAACTAAGCGCCATTGAAAAGCATTACGAGTATAGGACGGAATGAGCCCGACGCCCAGTTCCGCCGCCAATCAAAGCCCCCCGCTATCTTCCTCACCCTATGGCGCTTAGTTCCGTTGAACAGAAATACGTCCAATTATGTCTTGAAATACGATGATTTTAATTTAAACACATCCCTTCTTAAAAGTTTTGAGAGATGTAAGTAGGTTCCTGTATAAGTAGGTACCTTTTGAGTATTGATTTTTTTTTACATTGCTTTCTCGGTCCTAATTTCATTTGTTCGAATGTTAACTAGGGGGACAGTGGTGGCCCACTAATGATTCGTTATGGAGCGAATTCCGACTACTTCGTGATTGGAGTTGCCTCCCAAGGCTATGCATCCTGCACCCACTCTGGATACCCCGTAATTTTCACTCGAGTCTCAGCATATCTCGATTGGATTGCTGAGGTAGCGAAATAGTTACCTCGACGCCCATTTCTACCTCCTTGCAGATTGTTGTAGACCTGGGCAGTGTAACTGAAGAATTCGACGCAAAAATAAATCTTTAACGATAGATATCTATACCCTGGTAAAAATTGGCGATAGGAGCTGCGTTTCAAAATACCATAGGAATTCTTATAGCCGGCTAAGGAAGGCAATAGAAAATCATATAGGTAGCTGGCTGTAGAAAGCGGAGCAAATCATATAGCCGGGCTATACGAAGCGATAAAAAAGTATGCAGCCGGGCTATAGTTCCTATCGCCGGGCTATAGTTTCTATCGCCGGGCTTTACACTTTATCGCCAATCGGCTATAAAAGGCTATAAAAAATTGTGTAGAAATTCGTGTGCTTTGGAAATCATTAAGTTTGATACGGAACTACCATAATATTCACAAAACACACATTATATTTTCCTTTAATACATTTTTTTTCATCAATTAAAATGAGAATAATCCGTGCAGGATGTGCAAATATTTCAAAATCATTAGTTGAAAAACGCTGACTCCGCAAGATTATATTGGAGCCTAACACAGAGCGGAACGGCGTGCTGCCAGCGATAAGCGCGCACCAGCGCCTACAAACCTAACAGGGATACTTCACGCATGGCGCAATGCGTGAAGTATCCCTGTTAGGTTTGTAGGCGCTAAGGCGCTTTTCGCACTGGCTGCCCGCCCGCCCCGCCGCAGCGTGCCACGGCGCTTGAAGCTACTATTTCACGCCAGAGGTATTGCACAGTATCATACGAAATTGAAGGCGCTCTAATATATTAGTAATGGCAGGCATCCATCAAAAGTACGGAGCTTTCCTCGCAAAATAAATTAAGATACTACGGCCCAAAAAGAGAGCAGTATTCCAAAAACTCACCAAGTCCTAGCATCCGTAATTAGTAACATTTAGCATACTTTTTATCGCCTGGCTGTTGCTCAATCGTCATCGGCTATAAAAGGCTGTAAGAAATTGTGCAGCCGGCTACAGCAGCTATTGAAAATTTTACAGCCGGCTTTAGGTCTATGGTATTTCGGAACAAAGATTCTACTGCCAATATTTACCAGGGTATACCAGAAAACGATGTGCGAGAAAAACAACTGAAATGTAACAGAAACTGTTAAGACGTTTGACCAATTTAAAGTCGGTTGCTGGAGAAATATGAATTATTGTATTACATGACATCGAAATTCCTTGATTGGATTGAACAAATAACAAATTAGTGTCTCATAATCACAAATGTATTCCACAAAACTAATGTAGACCCTGTGGTTGAGCTTGTAAATGAAAGATGGTCCTTAAATATAATGATCATGATAACGAAATATATTTTTCATATTCAGAACCATTAAAGGAGCACAAAATTATCACGTTGTTTGCCACCGCTTGAGAAATGGTTATTTTGGTTATTTTTTTTTATTTTATGTAGCTACGTTGGCTATCATTACAGACTAATACATTCATATTATGAAGCTTATACCTATTTAGATGATGCTGATATGTTCTGATGTACCATGTTGAATGAAGACGAACGGATGGTCAAACAAAACACAAGTAAACATCCACCTTTACTTCCCATGGCATGTCGTGAGGGATTTTAACGTTCATGTACTTTTGTTTTTTATAATTTTCATCTTAATTTTTCATCTTACATATTACATTTCCTCTCCTTCAGAGACTCATAAAGGTTGCGACGTTACGTAATCTATTTTTCACTAATAGTGCGCGTGTGTCTCCTGACCGCTTCGCAATTCAACCCCCCCCCCCCCNATCATTCATTTTTGGTAATTCCTACGGAAAGAGAATAAATATAAAAAAGAGTAGTATTAGCTCAGAACTATCGAGAAAGTCAATAAAAATGATACTTTACCATGATAAAGGAAATAATTTTGTAAAGAGCACGTCACGAATCACTGAAAAAATCGATGGAATCACTGACAAGCAAACATAAGTAATAATTGAGGAGGAAATTAATTGAGAGCACAGAGAAAAATGGCATGCAATGGTAGGAATAGGAAGAGGCATGAAGGCGGAATGGAAATCGCGAAAAAACCGTAAGGGAAAAGGGAGGCGGAGGAAGAGAAGGGATAGAAGACTGAGTGGGCGCAGAATGCGCAGGTACTATACTGATGCAATAGAAGGGAATAGGAAGGAAGGAAGGGGCCATAGCCTCACCATTTCACATGGAGTAGGATAGGATAGGATAGGATATGTACAGAAAACGAAATTTTTGATATGAATTATTTCCGAGATCAATTGCTGTCATTTTCCCCAAAATTTTTCTTAGCGTACAATGCGCACCTGAGCATGCACCTAATTATGTTAGAACTAAGCCTTCGGCATTCTTAAATTATTTCGAGGAGAGAGTAAAAAATGTTCGTTTGCACTATCCATCACCCCTTGCTCCCACGCCCTGTGCTACCTTCTCAGTCCCACGGTAAAGTCGTAAACTTTGCGGTTCGTTTCGCATTTTTAACTCCGCAGCATGTCATAAAATTCACTTGTGGCCCCAAGTGTTCCAAATGTTCAATGAATCCAATTGCTTCGTGAGGTGATCAAGATGCACCGACACCGACAGCCTATAATTTTCAACGCAGTCTCAGCTGCGCAGGCATTCATTCCATACGCCACCTTTTGCTTCTATGTTTTCTCGGTGTAAATACCCCGTTTAGATTTTGGTTTCATGTGGCAAAGAAAAATTCGATTTCCTGTCGATTTTTTCATTTTCCGAGGTGGTATGTGATACCAAAGTTCTTCAAAGGAATGTTGAGGGAGCGTTCATAAATTACGTAATGCACTTATGCGGCATTTTTGACCCCCTCCCCTCAGGTAATGATTTTGTGACGTAGGTACCAATCCTTTATTACGTAAGAACAAAATGGCGTAACACGCTCCTTGATACCTCAGCGCGCTACGTAAGAGCGTTACGTAATTTGTGAACGAGCCCTAAAGGTTAGGCCCGAGAGCAAATAATCGGGTATCCACTATCCACTATGTTGAATCAACTTTTACTCCTTGCATTGCTGATGGTTTATGAGGTTCCAGAGGGTTGCGTCGCCAGCGAAAGCAGTGAACTGACAGAGATCGAAACAAGCGGTAAACAACTATACCTACCTTTTTGGAGCAGTGGTGGTTCTGCGCATTTGGTGAATCTATTTTTTATGCAATTAAAATAATTACAAATCCGATGACAGCAATCGATCCTACGTGAGGCAACCTGACCCAATATATTTTGATGGTTTAACATGTTCGAAAATGTACAAAACGGAGTAGCGGCAATTTATGAGACTTGCTACCAAATGCCTCGCAAGGTATTTCATTTTATCGTCACCTTCCGGCCAAAGTATATCACACGATTGAGCACAGGGGAGAATTCCATGAGCGCCGCTGCCCGTGGCACATTATGGTCCAAAACTCAAGAATTGGAAGAAATAAGTAGGATAATGACTGAAAGATCATGAAAGTTTCGTAAATGATGTTTTTTTAGTCTCTAACTTTTGAATTTGATGTCAAATTGCCTACATTTTAACACCCTCACCTATTAATTGTGGGCGGCGTGCTGCCGCTGCCAGCTCGAAATGCACACTGACGCCTACAAACCTAAACGGATACTTCATGCATTGCGCAATGCGTGAAGTAGCCCTTTAGGTTTGTAGGCGTCAGTGCGCGTTTCGCGCTAGCAGCACGCCGCGCCCCCGACGCGGCCGGGTGGTGAACGATTTCTTGCGGGGAGAGCTCCCTGGTGGAGACTCGTATATCGTGTAAACTTTTTTTTATTATTATTATTAATTTTTGACTTTAAAAATTACACGCTGGTCGTGTGAAGCAATAAGTGAACTCTCAACTCTAGATGAATAAAGGCAGTGAGCCATGCGCGCTGCGGACGGCGCAGAGCGGCTCATAAAATTCTCCCGTGTGCTCTGTCGGTATATCACAAGCGCCATGCGACGTTTCAAAATTACCGCCGCCATTTCAAATACAATTCAATACTTTCAATACAATTTTCCGGTCAGACGCTTTATCTGAGCCTGTTTTGTCAAAACATCATTTTTGCGGTTACTGCTCTCTTCGCTATTACGGCAATAGTCTCCATACTCTCCCTACAAAGGTACTCTATACGGAAAAAATAACTTAGCGCTGAGCCCTAACACTTTAGATCAAATGTAGCCAACTAAAAGCAGCAGGCCGGCTGAGTCCCATAGTCTGTGCGGCTATACCCCTAAAGTTTTAGGGCGGACCCTAAAGTTATAGGGCTCAGCACAACTGTCTTTAGTATGCTCTATTTGATCTATAGTGTTAGGGCTCAGCACTTAGTTGTTTTTTCCGTGTACTTCCTTGAAGTTTACGGCCCCGAGGCCTGAACCAACTTTCCACCCAACGTTAGCTTCACCCGCTTGACAAAACCCTGACAATATAATATTGCTGAAATATTGCTGATTTACAGTGGAAACAGCCGAATCGATTCCGCCCAATTCCTTGCAGCAGCAGGGATGTGGAAAGAGCATGGTCGGGCAACGACACGAAAATATAGTGGGTGGTGAACCTGCCGAACTCGGTGCCTGGCCCTGGATCGCCACTCTGGGTTTCAAGCTCGGTTCCGATGATTTCTTCTATGACTGTGGCGCATCACTCATCTCTGCGCGGCACGTTATCACCGCAAAGCACTGTGTTTCCGAATTACTGTAAGTGTTGCGGTGTTGCCTGATATAACGATGCTCAAAACGCGAAACCACGTACGTCCATTGCGGTGTTTCAAAATTTCCGCTCGTATTTTAATTTTTTGGAGAGGAATAAGCCAGCTTCATAGCTTAAGATTTTTACAGAATATTTTGCTAACAAAGAGGAACAATCAGGACGTTTTCAAGAAATTATGTCGACCAGTTTTCCAAAGAGACATTGAAGTATGACAAGAATTCTGCAACGTCACGAACGAAGTTGCGTGGTTTTTCACTTTGGTCATCGACAAGTGTTCCTTTAGAAAATACAACGCAAATTGCCATTGGCCATGGCCAGATTTACCTTCTTGCCGTTGATGGACCGGGCCGCGTGCATTTTGCCGCCCCCTTGTCATTCGTTTTGAAATATCAATAAAATCCATCAAGTGAACGTGCCGGAGGAAAAGGGGTGCTTAAGACGCGTTTACTCGTGTTGGCCACTTTTTTTGCGAAAGCCCTGTCAACACTATTGGCAAAAGTTCACGGAACTTTGCGCGAAAGTCAACTTCCGTAAACCTACCTCTGTGTGAACAAGGCCTTCCTTTTATAAGAAATGAAAAAAAATTATGAAAGAACAAACATAAATGTGGCTTAATAATTTTAAGTTCAACCGCCGCGCCGCCGCGCCGCGCCTTGGCCTTGCTGGTGCAATGTGTGAAGTATTCCTACAGTCTTGTAGGCGCTATGTGTTTCACGCCGACCGCTACCGACCGCACTGTGTTTGACTAGTATAGTATAATGGCACTAAGTATAGTGGCACTCGAACAATTTCTAAGAGTCATCTGGCTGATTATGGACATCTTTTTTCTATTTGATTAATTTATCTCTTTATTTCTCTTTTTTTCTTCGCTCTTTAAAACAAGGCAAACCGAGCAGAGCCCAGTTTAGCTGCCGGAACTACCCTTCCATGATTTGAACTTTCAAATTTCCAGGGATTAAGGCCGCGTAAACACTGTCTCTGCAGATACACCTGTCATTTCGGCATTTGTCGCCACTACCAGGATTCGAACCCAGGACCTATTGGCCTTGAGTCAGACGCACTGACTACCGGGCCAATCTAGCCGGCTGAAAAAAATGACATATACTTATCTACCTTATCTATCTAACTTACTGGCTGGAGGACTTAGTCTCATCATTTTCCGGTCAAATGCACTCAGGTTCATTTTTCAAAACGTCAGTTCTGTTATTACTGTTCTAATTGATAACACGGCAGAGCAGGCGTGCAAAATGTGCTCGAGTAAGCGAGTCATCTAGCGGCAAGGCGCCAGCCACTAGATTGATATATATGGAAATGGACGTCTCCCAAATGCCCATTTACCTGAAAAATATGTACTTTTGGTGATATTTTAATTAATTAATTAATTTATTTTTAAACTTTGCAGTTCCTTCGTTCGATTGGGAGATCTGAATCTCAGTCCAGATGTCAAAGATGGAGCTTCACCGGTAGACTACATAATTGAGGAAGAAATCATGCACCCAAAGAGTGATATTGCTATTTTGCGCCTTCAAAAAGATGTTACATTCACCAGTAAGTTCTTTTCCAGGCCTCTTTTTAGTATCTTATATTTTATCTACGAAGGGAAAAAATTAAACGAAGTAATTGTATGAAAAGAGCGCATGATTCAAAAACTGAGGAAATAGCTTGAATGCAGATTCGAACTGGCCATAAGACCAATCTGACGAGAAAACAGAACAAAATTTCTCATTTTCTGAGAGAATAGTAATATTTCTAATTTTGACGTCTTTCGGTGATATAAAAGGCAGCACCTTTAATCAGTCGAGTTAAGAGAGAATAACCAAACACGCAATTTGGCCTGGAACGGCACGGCGTATAGAGCAATGGTGACGAGGACTTGAGATGGAAAGGGAAACCCCTCCCTCGGCGCGGCGCGGCCGGCGGTCGGCATGTAACACATATTAGCGCCTACATGACTCCATGAATACTTCACGCATTGCATCAAACACTGAGCGGTCAGCAGCGGTCGGCGAGAACGCATGGCGCCTACATGCCTGCTTGAATACTTCACGCATTGCGCCAAATACAGTGCGGTCAGCGCGGCGCGCCGACGACGTGCGGAAGTTAAAATTATTAAACCACCTTATGTTTGTTCTTCCATAATTTTTTGGTTCAATACTTGTAAATGGAAGGCCTTGTCCACACAGAGATATAAGTTTACGGAACTTAACTTCCACGCAAAGTTTCGTGACCTTTTGCTAGTAGTGTTGACAGGGCTTTCGCAAAAAATGTGTCCAACACGATTAAACGCGTCTTATGCACCCCTCCCCCTCTGGCACGTTCACTTGATGGTTTTCATTGATGTTTCGGAACGGATGAGAAGGGGGCGGCAAGATATGGGCGGCCCATGGGCGGCAAGTAGGTAAATCCGGTCCTGCAGGTACCCACTATACAACATCGATTGTGAAAGCACCGAAATCACACTAAAAAAGTTAGAAACATTAACTCGATAATTGGTCAACTCAAAAAAATTAGTCAAATACCTCTCGCTTTTTCATGTATTCATTTGCGGTTTCTAACAAGTTGATTTGGAGTGGAAGTTAACCATGTTTTTTCATCAATATTACCATGGGACCATAAATCAATACGTAGTATATATTTATTTTGTCTTCTTCTTTCTGCAGATTTGATCCAACCAATTTGTTTACCTTCTGCGCCGGAGATCAAAGATAACACGTGGGCTGGTTATGAACCTTTCGTGGCTGGATGGGGAATGACGGAACCATGGAAAGTCGCCGAACGTAAGTACCCGCTTGTTTGTTTCAATTCCATTATTTTTATTCTGTCTTTCTTTTTTTAAAATACAGATTGGAGTATATATAAAATGACTAATAAATAAAATGAATAAAAGTAATATACAAGCTAATTGGATCGCATATAGCAAAAAGGAACCAGCGCGATTACTACACACTGATCCGTGCCAGAGCTTTCATTGACGCGATCATAATCAAATTTTATTTTTTCATCCGATCACTCTGTCGTTAAAAGATCTAACGCTTTGCAAAGTCTCTGATTTCCAGCATCGTTGAGGAAGCATACGAAAAATATGATGTGTTATATAATAGACTTTGCCCTCGTGAAATTTCAACATAGAATCATTGGTGTTTCAGATAAAGGCAAAAATAAGATGCTTCGACAAGTAAGAGTCCCCGTTTGGGATGACCAGAGATGTAAATCCGTCTACGACGAAACCCGAGGATACATCGTTGATGAAACGATGATGTGCGCAGGTCTCGCGGATGGAGGAAAAGATTCTTGCCAGGTATGCATAAATAAAGGCAAAAATCTGAGCGTTACGGGTCAATAGACGTTACTACTAGAGGGCTATGCCCCTTGGCCGCTACGCGGCCCAACCCCCAGATGGTGCTTCGCGCTCTTTTATGACCGCCCTTCTAAAAGGGGCCCCAAATCCACTTTTTGAGAGGCCCGCCTTTTGAATAATTTGAAACCAGTCCGCCACTGGGTACAGTCTTCAGGTAGTTTTGAGAAAAATCTTTCAGGAGTTTCAGGCTGAAATATTACGAAACTCCTTGAAAACTTCCTGTCCAGCAGTTTCTTCAATAGAACTTCAATAGTGGTAGCCCATTTCATCAAGTCAAAGAAGTTTCAAGGACAATTTTAAAATTCCGGGCGTGAATTAAGCCACATCCGCAGTTTGGGATTGTTGGATTATAGAGCATCATTACGCCCTTATTTGGACCGAGTTCATCAGAAAGGAACCAACCCAAATTTTCAAAAAAATTGAGTTTAGAATGTTTTTGAGTTTCACTAGTCGTATATTTTCTCCTGCCAAATACTCAAAGTCGAGAAAAAAAATTAGTCCGTGTGAAGAGGGGCCCAAGTTCATTTTCTACATTGAGCCTTATTGAGAAACAAAACTTCAAACCTCTTTTTCTCAGTTTCAAATTTATGTGGGTTGGTTCTTTTCTGTTGAACTCGGTTAATTTGGCACCTCACTGAAACGAAAAAAATTTAGGGAATATTTCAAACATATTTTAGGTGTTTTGTTACACACCGATAAGCGCTCTCCAATTGTCTAGAGAATCACGAAGCACCCGATTAATTCAGAGTTCCTTCATTTTAGCACACATGCAATTTGATCTAAGAGCAGTTAGAATAGTTGCTATAACCCCTATCCAGTTGTCTACGGAGCGGCACAAGATATCAGGCGCCCTTTTATTAAACTGTGAGACTGTGAAAACTCGTTTTAATATTTTAAATTTTAATAAAATCATACATTATTACCTCCAGATGATTATAAATGTCTGTTGTTTTCTTGGCAGGTACGACTGTCTTTTCCCAGAAAATTTTTTATTCACTCGCTAACTTTGTGCATTTATGTTTATTAGGGTGACAGCGGTGGTCCATTGATGGTTTCTCTGGGGAAGAATTCCTCGTACTACTTGATTGGAATTGTTTCTTGGGGTCTAGGGTGCGCAAGGCCGAATGTACCCGGGGTTTATGTGCGAGTCTCGAAATTTCTTGATTGGATTGAGAAAGTAACGAAATAGTTTCCTACACTCAAAAATGTTTTCCAAAAAACGGTATTTCTATGTGTAGCACCTCATTGAAAATTATCAATGTGAGCAGTATAGTCATGAATCGTCTATATTTAACTTAAAGCAGTATAACCATGAATCGTCTATATTTTACTTAAAGCAGTATAATCATGAATCGTCCATATTTTACTTATACCTATCTGAAGAACACGAAGCGTAATTTTTTGATGCTTGTGAAGTGCAATTGTTTGATGAATATCATACGTATGTAATCTGCAAAAATACAATTATTGTTTATTTATTCAGAATTGTTGCAATACTTTTAGAAAACCTAGCCGGTCAAGTTTGAGAACCTCTGAAATGGAGGGACTCATTCTAAAAGTAAGACTCCTATGAATTGTAACGATAAAATTGCTGGTTGTGATATTCATTGTAGGAGATATTAAGAAAAAATCAATCAATCGAGCACAGACTCGGAAAATTGAATTTACAGGCCGCATTCTCTGGCGAAAAAGTCCAAAAAATCATCTGACTCCTCAGAGACGAGGGATCTCTTTACAATTGCTCCTGAGTTCATATCGATTCGTCATTGTCATCTTATTGAGGTAATTTTTTTCCTTAAAAGTCACCTTTGAGAATAGATGTACCCAAAGGTTGTCAGACTACTACTACTTACGGTCGGTCTGCTTGTCTCACGGATGCTGTAATACATACTAATCTCACCTGCTCTCTCAACCGACGCGACGCGATGTACAGACTTCACAGGTTTTACCAAAGGAAAAGCAATCATTCCAATTGAGGGGCTTAGAGGACGCATAAGTGCAGTTTAAACTATTCCGAGAAATATGTGTTTGAAGTTTCGAAACTACCTGGATTCTGGGCGGAAAGAAAGATCAAACTATTTGATACTTAAAAACCCTGGTAAAAATTGGCGATAGGAGCTGCGTTTCAAAATACCATATGAGTTCTTATAGCCAACTGAAGGAGACGATAGAAAATCATACAGGGTGTACCAAAAGTCCGTCCCACCCCTGCTAACTTTTGAACGAATTGAGGTAGGGTAATGAAACTTTGGGAATGTTCCTATCTCAAAGGGGACCATCTTTTGGGGGGGTCAAAATTTTGGTCCCCCCTCAGGGGGGGCGCGGGGGGCCCCCAACTTTTTTTTTTCAAATGGCAACCCCTATCTTGTGATACATCATTCGAAAGAACATAAAAAACTAAGAATTTTGGCGCAAACCGCAGATCAATATCTTAATTTTTGACCGAGTTATGATAGGTCAAAGGTCAAATTTGACCTATTTTCAAAAAATCATAACTCCGGTTCAAATTATCGTAAAGAAAAAAATAAAACGGGAAAATTTACCAAATTGTGTCCGCTTTTAAGTAAAAATTGCAGAAATCACTTCGCTGTAATTTTAAGGGGGGGCTCGGACCCCCAAATACGTCAATTCAAAGGTCATTCAATTTTCCCGCGAAAAAAGGCAATTTCCCCTAGATTTGCCTCCACATTATCTCAGTAAGGTCAAAATTAGTTCAACATTACGTTGGCAAGTCCCCAAATTTCGGGAAAAGTTAAAAAAAAAAGAAATTTAAACGGTCAAATTTAATCACCTTAAATTTCGTTTTTTTTTAAATTTTCCCGAAATTTGGGGACTTGCCAACGTAATGTTGAACTAATTTTGACCTTACTGAGATAATGTGGAGGCAAATCTAGGGGAAATTGCCTTTTTTCGCGGGAAAATTGAATGACCTTTGAATTGACGTATTTGGGGGTCCGAGCCCCCCCTTAAAATTACAGCGAAGTGATTTCTGCAATTTTTACTTAAAAGCGGACACAATTTGGTAAATTTTCCCGTTTTATTTTTTTCTTTACGATAATTTGAACCGGAGTTATGATTTTTTGAAAATAGGTCAAATTTGACCTTTGACCTATCATAACTCGGTCAAAAATTAAGATATTGATCTGCGGTTTGCGCCAAAATTCTTAGTTTTTTATGCTCTTTCGAATGATGTATCACAAGATAGGGGTTGCCATTTGAAAAAAAAAAGTTGGGGGCCCCCCGCGCCCCCCCTGAGGGGGGACCAAAATTTTGCCCCCCCCAAAAGATGGTCCCCTTTGAGATAGGAACATTCCCAAAGTTTCATTACCCTACCTCAATTCGTTCAAAAGTTAGCAGGGGTGGGACGGACTTTTGGTACACCCTGTATAGCTGGCTGTAGAATGTGGAAAAAATCTTACGGCCGGGCTATACGAAGCGATAAAAAATTATACAGCCGGGCTATAGGTATCGCCGGGCTTTACACTTTATCGCCTGGCAGTTGCTTTTTCGCCATCGGCTATACAAGGCTGTAAGAAATTGTGTAGAAATTCGTGTGCTTTGTAAATCCTTAAGTTTGTACGGAATCACCTTAATATTTACAAAACGCTTATTATATTTTCCTTTACTACAAATTTTTTTTCCATCAGTTTAAATGAGATTAATCCATACAGAGTGTGCAAACATTTCAAAGTCATGAGTTGAAAAACGCTGACTGCACGAGATTAAATATTAGAGTCTAACACAAAGCGGAGCGGCGCAGTCGGCGGTGTACTGGCACCTACAAACCTAACAGGGATACTTCACGCATTGCGCAATGCGTAAAGTATCCCCGTTAGGTTTGTAGGCACCAATGCGCGTTTCGGACTGGCTGCCCGCCCGCCGCGCCGCGCCGCAGCGTACCACGGCGCTTGAAGCAACTATTTCACACCAGAGGTATTGCACAGTATCATACGAAATCGAAGGCTCTCCGACATATTAGGAATGGCAGGCATCCTTCAAAAGTACGGAGCTTTCCTCGCAAAATAAATCAAGATACTATGGCCCAAAAAGAGAGCGGTAGTCCAAAAACTCACTAAGTCCTAGCATCCGCAATTGGTAAAGTTTAGCATACACTTTATCGCCGGACTGTTGCTTAATCGCCATCGGCTATAAAAGGCTATAAGAAATTGTGTTGCCGGCTATAGAAGCTATTGGAAATCTTACAGCCGGCTGTAGGTCTATGGTATTTTGGAACACAGATTATACTGCCAATTTTTACCAGGGAATTGTAATTTGGCTGCAAAATCACAGAATTTGCAGTAAAACTAGTTTTCCTTGAAATCATTAATATCTTAATTTTTTCAAAAACTGCACTCAGGTATGCCTATGCCCCTTGTCTTCCAAGCGCCCCCTCCCCCTCATTTGAGAAGAGTTGCCAGCGATTGCGAATGGTGTGGAAACAAAAACGCCTACAGTTTCGTGATCATGCAATATCGGCTTCCGCTGAGCGAGAATAGTTGTATTTAGGCGTTGATATTCACTTTTCATGTTTGCGAGAGCAAAAGCAATCGTGTTCTACGGCGATGATCGGTCCAATACAAGAGCTCATAGCTGTGTCCTACATTGAGTTTGTTTGATTTTGCATGTATGTATTTATTATTTATTTCTGTATTCATTCGCTGAATTTTATGATTCTCGAATATTATCACCGCATAACTTCTTGCATAGTCTTCGCGACCGTTTCACGATAGACTGCCGAGGGAACTGTTCTTTTTCTCTGTCTCTACACGAGGGCCGAGCCCGAGACCCGAGAAAGACTAATATTCTGTCGTGCTAAGGAAAAACGCCGTATGAACATTCGAGAATTGCCAAATTTCCGTGTATAAAACATGTATTTTTGAGGAGACTTATGAATATTTTCTCCTGCAATTTTCGAATAATTTAGATCTAACTGCAAAGAAAATTCTCTGAAAAATTGAATGTATATACACGAGTTTTCCTGAAAATTCGTTATCAATCAAAGTAAATTTGGCAACTGACAAAGGTTCATACGGCGCTCTTCCGTATTATGGCAGTATTATCGCCTCATTTCCGACGCGAGCCATAAAGTCGTTCCGAAACTCTACGTGGCACAGTGGATCGAGTCAATCATAGGGGTCGGACATTAAATTTGTGACTAAAACTGCAAATTTTGATGTTTATTTCGTCACATTTTAAATTTCTAGGGGTGTTCTCTGTAGAAAATTTCATGGCGAAATCAATGGAACCACTTTTAAAACCTCAAAGTTTTGTATAAAGGGTGTAATAAGCGTTTAAAGTTTCCAAATTTTGTCCGACCTCACCTATTGACTCGATCCACTGTGCGTGGCCTCAAATTGGTCACAATGGTCCACAAATCCGTTTTTCTGGGAAGGCATTGGTCGTTCGCTCCGGGCTGCCCAATCGGATTCAGTTCATATCAATCGCGCAATGCTCGTTCTCCTCACAGTCTACATGGTAGTTTTTAACTTCGCTCAGCTATCGATAGACTGATTTAGTGGATAGGGTCAGTGTAAGGACAGTGGGCCACATTGTACGATGGTCCATCAACGGTTTTGGTGAAATTTAGTGATACCGGTGAAAAGTTCTGCAGTAGCGGTGTTTGTTCACATCCCAAGACCTTGTCTTCGCGGGATTTGTTACGGGGAAAAATCCCCCGTGTAAAAGTGAGTTAGCCTGACGTCTGGCTATGTTTCATAAACTATTCTGATTCTGACTGATATTAGCCCGAATCAGTCTGACTCAGGCTAGTTTATGAAACATAGCCTGAATCATTCTGACTGAGGGTAGTTTATGAAACATAGCCTGACGTCAGGCTAACTCGCTTTTACTAGGGCCCCCTTACGAGGTCGGGAAAAATATTGAGTTAATCAATCTTCTTCCCAGTACCAAGTATATGGTTCTTGTACTCCTGAGGCCTTGTCTCCACGGGACGTTTCGTCGAATTTGTCCCACGGGAAAATCTCACTTGCGAAGTTGGGAAAAATATTGAGTTGGTCAATACTAATCAAGGTATCAACTGAGAGTCCTCGTGGAGTCCCAGGAACGACTTACCCTGATAAAAATTGGCAGTAGAATCTGTGTTCCAAAATAACATAGACCTACAGCCGGCTGTAAGATTTCCAATAGCTTCCATAGCCGGCAACACAATTTTTTATAGCCTTTTATAGCCGATGGCGATTAATCAACAGCCTGGCGATAAAGTGTATGCTAATCCTTACTAATTACGGATGCTAGGACTTCGTGAGTTTTTGGACTACCGCTCTCTTTTTGGGCCGCAGTATCTTGATTTAATTTGCGTGGAAAGCTCCGTACTTTTGAAGGATGCCTGCCATTCCTAATATGTTGAAGCGCCTTCAATTTCGTATGATANTAAAAATTGGCAGTAGAATCTGTGTTCCAAAATACCATAGACCTACAGCCGGCTGCTTCCAATAGCTTCTATAGCCGGCAACACAATTTCTTATAGCCTTTTATAGCCGATGGCGATTAATCAACAGCCTGGCGATAAAGTGTATGCTAATCCTTACTAATTACGGATGCTAGGACTTCGTGAGTTTTTGGACTACCGCTCTCTTTTTGGGCCGCAGTATCTTGATTTAATTTGCGTGGAAAGCTCCGTACTTTTGAAGGATGCCTGCCATTCCTAATATGTTGAAGCGCCTTCAATTTCGTATGATAATTTGCAATATCTCTGGTGTGAAAAAGTTGCTTCAAGCGCCGCGGCACGCGGCGGCGCGGCGCGGCGGGCGGGCAGCCACTGCGGAACGCGCATTGGCGCCTACAAACCTAACAGGGATACTTCACGCATTGCGCAATGCGTGAAGTATCCCTGTTAGGTTTGTAGGCGTCAGTGCGCCAGTGCGCCGCCGCTCCGCTTTGTGTTATGCTCTAATATTTAATCTCGTGGAGTCAGCGTTTTTCAACTCATGACTTTGAGGTGTTTGCACACTCTGTATGGATTATTCTCATTTTAATTGATGAAAAAAAAAATATGTAATAAAGGGAAAAGCCTGGAAGTTTCATTCCTGCGATTCGAACTTGAGAAAAATCCCGTGAACTGTCCCGTGGAGACTTGGCGTAACACCAACTGAGAGAGGAAGAAGAAGTGAGAGCAAATTGTGCGATATTTTGTTGTTTACTCTAATATTCGTGTTTGTCTAGTAGATGTAATGTGTGTATAGTTGTCAATCTTGTTCAATTATTATTTTAATCTCAGTTAAATACTCGATTTTTACAAACTTGTCGCCGGAGCGTTCGAGCCCCGTCCCGTTGAGACGGAAATAACTGGGAAAAATCCCAGAAGTTCTATTCCTGCGATTCAAACTGGGGAAAAATCCCATGAAAACGTCCCCTGGAGACAAGGCCCAACAAGACGAGCTTTAACACAGCATGTACCTCTTCTTTACGCTCTAACTTATTCGCAGAAGTCACAAAACTGATGCTCCTCTGCTGGCATTCAACAGGACTCTAATCCGCATGGGAGTCGAAAATCGGGTACCCTCTATGTTGTATCAAATTTTACTCCCTGCATTGCTGATGCTTTATGAGGTCCCGGAGGGCTGCGCCACTATACATTTTTGGGGCAGTGGTGGTTCTACGGAATTTGGTAACGCTATTTTTTCTGCATTTACAATTATTCCTTTAAAAAATCCGATTACAAAAAATCGGTTCTAAATGAGACAATCTGCCGGCTGTACTTACTACTTGACTGCTTTTCATATCGCAACTTCCCGCTTCCAATAATAGGATCCCTCTATTTCATTTTCCGTGGATCGAGTCAACTGGAGAGGTCGAACGGACATGAAATTTTTTACTGAAACTACAAATTTTTATGTTTATTTCATTACATTTTAAATTTTAAGGGGTGCAACTAGAAGAATATTTCACGAGGGAACCAATGAAACCGCTTTTAAAACCTCAAAGTTTTGTATGGACCAGGGCCGGATTAAGGGGGTGGCCACATGGGTCGCGGCCCATGGCGGCAAATCTATAGGGGGCGGCAAATTTTGCGATTTTTTTTAAATGTAGGTATAACAAAAAATTCGGATTTAGAAAAAAATTACAAACGAGAAAAGGCGACAAAATCTTTAATTTTCTGAGCACTGAAAAAAAAACTCCGGCCGTGGGAGCCGTAATTACGGGCTATATAGAGCTACCGTCCGTTCCGGGCTCAAAGGCCGAAAATTCCGGCTGCTGGAGCCGTAGTTTCGGCCTCTAAACCCGGAGCAATCGAAGTTACGGCTCCAGCAGCCGGAATTTCCGGCCTTTGAGCCCGGAACGGACGGTAGCTCTATATAGCCCGTAATTACGGCTCCCACGGCCGGAGTTTTTTTTTCAGTGAGAGTATAGTAATTTCTACTTTTGTCGTCTTTCAGTGATACAAGAGGCAGCACCTTTAATTAGTCGAGTTAACAGAAAAACCAAACACGCAATTTGGCCCGGAACGGCGCGACTTACCTAGAGAGAAATGATGACGAGGACTTGAGATGAAAAGGAGAAGCCCTCGGCGCGATCGGCATGTAACACATATTAGCGCCTACAAGACTGCACGGATACTTCACGCATTGCATCAAACACAGTGCAGTCATTATAGACAGCGTGAAACCGACTGCGTGAATACTTCACGCATTGCATCAAACACAGTGCGGTTTGCGAGGCGCGGCGGTGGAAGTTAAAATCATTAATCCACATTTATGTTTGTTCTTTCATAAATTTTTCGTTCATTTCTTATGAATGGAAGGCCTTGTCCACACAGAGATAGGTTTACGAAATTTAATTTTCGCGCAAAGTTCCGCGAACTTTTGCTAGTAGTGTTGACAGGGCTTTCCCAAAAAATGTGTTCAACACCAGTAAACGTGTCTTATGCACCCCTCCCCCGCTGGCACGTTCATTTGATGGTGTTCATTGATGTTTCAAAACGAATGAGAAAGGGCGACAAAATACTAGCGGCCCATGGGCGGCAAAATACTAGCGGCCCATGGGAGGCAAGTAGGTAAATCCGGCCCTGGTATGAACGGAGTTATGAGCTTTTAAAGTTTCCAAATTGTTTCCGACCTCTCCTATTGACTCGATCCTCTGTTAGGCGCTGCGCGTCTCTACATATACATAAAAATCGCTTTGATTGCGATCTATGGCGCTCTCTGACTCAAAACCGCCACAAAACTCGGTCTTTCCACAACCTGTCAGGGAGTTGGCACTCCCTCTTTTCATTTAGAATTCCCCCCCCCCTCATCTTCTCCCAGGAGGAACCCAATCAAGCATCTTTTCTGGCAGCCTTTCTTCCGTCATCCGTCATCATGTTAAAAGGATGACAGAAGAAATAATATACGTTATATTCCTTCCTTAAATTTGCTGCTTTACAGAGAAAACAACCGCCTCGATTCCTTCAGAGTCTCCGCGGCCGCCGGAGCAGCAGGGATGTGGAAAGAGCCTGGTCCAGCAACGAAGGATGATTGTGGGTGGTGAATCCGCCGAACTCGGCGCCTGGCCCTGGCTCGCCGCCCTGGGTGTCAACGTCCCGAATGTTACTTTCGATCTCTCATGCGGAGGATCACTCATCTCATCGCGGCACGTCATCACCGCCAGGCATTGTCTTCATAAAAGATACATGTAGGTGTAGCAATAGGACCCAGTTCTGTAGGACCCTGGACTCTCGTAAGAGCCAATGTAAAAATTCGTGAGCAGGTAATTGTGCTGCTATCTCGCATAGGACCCTCGCAACTCACTACTATTATCAGTTGTTTTGAACTTCACAAAAATCCCTAAGGTCGCGTATATCTGCCAAAAATCTAATTTTTCGCCTCTAGGTTGTGTGTGGCGGCCCTGCCTTGTCGAGAGGGGTCACAAATCGCCAAAAATATACTTATTTTTCCAGAAATTCAGTCGCCTTCTGTGTTATTTTTCAATCGTCGGCTTGACCTCACTTATGGAGAGAACGATGGATGAGTGGAGGTTCGGGGGGAAGGATTTTCTGAGACTAGAGTCCTACGCGAGAATGCGCTACAATCATCCGCTCACAACAGAACGGCGTCCTATAGAACTCATCCCTGGCAATAGCTTGCTACAGTTTTTTTTACAAACGTCCTGCAATGAAATTTTTATTCCAATTATTTTACTTTTGAACTTTGCAGCTCCGTTCGATTGGGAGATTTAAATCTTGATCCAAATGCAGAAGATGGAGCTTCACCAGTAGACTACATAATCGAGGAATCAATCGTCCACCCAGAGAATGATATTGCTATTTTGCGCCTTCAACAAGACGTAACATTCACTAGTAGGTTCTATTTTACATCTGTCCTTTTACGATAGGAAAAAAATTAAACACAAATATATACAAAAATCGCGTGTAGTTTGAAGGGAGTAAGGAAATAGTTTAAAGTATAGTATCGGCACAGAAACTTGAAGTATTAATACCTAAATAAAAGAAAAACTTTATTTTTCATAATTATGCATGTCCAAGGATTTTATGCGAGAACTTTGGATCGGCTTCCATTAAATATACCTCTTCTTTGATTCGTTTTTTATGAACTTAGTCCATTAATGATCCGATTTAATGTTCTTGAAGCAACCAGTAACGTATGATATATTTTCTCTATACTTTGGGTCTTGCCTCATCAGGCTCCAAATTGGACATATTTCTCCCAAACGAAACTATGTGCATTATGACGTGAGCCCAGTTATGCATATATTCTTATGGGTCTCAGGGCTCATGTCTTAATGCACACAGTTCTGCTTGACAGAAAAACGTCCAATTGACAGTAGGTTGATTTAAATTTCCGACTAGGCTTTTGTCTAACTCTTCAGCGAAACGAAAACACAAATATTGTATGATGAGATGCGTGCTCGAATTTTCTGAAATAACCATGAAACGACATTGCTGCATTAGTCCTCCTTAGATCAAAGATAGTGAGGGCCGCAGTCTACATATTTTTAGGACGGCAACGTTTTCACACATTGAAAAACCAAAGCATTATTCGAAAAATTGACACAGTCGCGATAAAAATCAGAACAAGGCACCTCGTCACGATACGCAACGCTGGAATTAAGTTGCAGAGCAAAAGGAACGGGAAAACCGCTTTTAGTTAGTGTTGAATGCGACGAACACTCATTTTAACTCCTGGATGCGATGCAACTATTCGGGCTCCGAGGATGTCCGTATTGCATACGCACGGCATTGAAGGCGTTTTGACTGTCCAGGCACTCACAGTCACAACTTCACCCACGGCCCACGGCCAGCGACGGCGGCGCACAGTGAGTCGAGTCAATTATCTCGAATTTTCGACGTATTTTCTACTCTACTTGCATTTTCAGTGCCATGCAGGCACCACGAATTCGGTTTTGAAAGCGGCGAAAACAAGGTGAATATTGGATTTTATTTCCATGTATTTATTTTTTCTTTCCTTTTTACCAGATTTAATCCAACCGATTTGCTTACCTTTCCCGCATGAGATGAAAGACAATACCTGGGTCGGTTACGAGCCCATTGTGGCTGGATGGGGAGTAACGGATAGGAGTAGAAGCAGTGGTAAGTACCTGCTGTCTCATTGTTTCCAGGAAAATTGCGGTCACAGTTTTGGAATTATGAATGTAGGCATTATGCTCTCATCGTCATCGTTGAATAAGGAAATCAAGCGCGCAAATATCCGAACTCCGAGTTAGGTATGCGATGTGGTATCTCGCCGAAATGAAGGAGAATCTTAGATTGTCACTTTTCTCTCAAGATTTTGGTCATTTTGCTCGCATCGCAGAATCCGAAAATCTAGCTCGCAACCCGCAAGTATGCGAACTCCGGAGCATGGCAGGTCTAAAATTAGTTTCGCCTCAAGACCGCTAAGATTTTTCAGCCCCCCACACGGAGAAAAAAAACGCATGCGTGGGACCCGAAGTTTAGGTCATATGGATCTCTGAAGTTTTCAGATTGAGCATCTGAACACTTTAGGTCTAGCTGTCGAGGTTCGGATCACACATCTGAAACTTCAGTTCTTACATCTGAAGTACTTCGGTTCTCACATCTGAAGTACTTCAGATGTAAGAACTGAAGTTTCAGATGTATGATCCGAACTTCGGCAGCTCGACCTAAAGTGTTCAGATGCTCAATCTGAAAATTTCAGAGATCTATATGACCTAAACTTCGGGTCCCACGCACGAGTTTTTTTTCTCCGTGCAAAGACTTGTCAGTTGTCACGCGTCGTCCAGTGGCACGAAGGTCGTTGCGAGGGAATATCAGAACATTTTATTTTTAAATACCTCGAAAAATCAAGGTCCCGCGTTTACTTTGCATTACTTTTCCTGAGCAGCCTACTCACGAGTAACCGCGTACCTTTGTTTCCGAAGGCACTCACCCCCTCCTCTTCCAAGACCGTCTTCTCCAAGGCGGGCACGTCCTCTGCCCCACTGACCGTATTTCAAATTCCACAACTGGCAAATTAATTTGCCTCAGTGAATTTTCACCATGAAATCATTGATGTTTCAGATTTTGGCCGAGATCAGATGCTCCGACACGTTAAAGTCCCCGTTTGGGATAACGAGAAGTGTAAAGCTGTATACAGCGGGATATCATCAAAATTCCTCATTAATGAGACAGTGTTGTGCGCAGGTTATGAAAAAGGAGGAAAAGATTCGTGTCAGGTATGTATAATTGACGGGCTTGGGGGACAAGGCGCATAAGTGCAGTTTTTGAACAAATTGAGATGATAATGATTTCAAATACAACTAGTCTTAATGCATATTCTGTGGAAAATTCACTCTCAAATTACAATTATTAAGCATCAAAAAGTCAGTTTGACCGCGTGGTACTTACCCGTATGGGGGACTGATGTCACAGGTTTAGCAATCCTGCGGACCCCAGCTGGTAACCCCTGCCTTATGGGGTAGTGGAGATGGTCACCGGCTTCAAGGCGTATGAACCACTCATTGGAAGGGCAGACAGGGCTCTCAGCTGTAGTGGAAGCAACCTGTCTAGGAGAGGAAACTCCGAAATCAAACCCCGGTCCTCCAGGTTGGGGGTNCTGCTGGCATCTCAAGAAGAGAGCGTATCCGCAATGTAAAAGTACGCGAGATCATGGGTGTAGAGAAGGACATCGTGCACGATATCAGGTCCAAGCAGTTGGTCTGGTATGGACATGTGCGAAGGATGGCAGACGACCGGTTGCCCAAGCAGGTCTTCGATTGGGTTCCTCCCGGAAGGCGACGGCGTGGACGTCCTGTGAAAGGTTGGCGACAAGGGGTGGAGGAGGAGATCAGAAGGTGCCAATTGCCTGATGATCTCTGGGAGGATAGGGGGCAATGGCGATTGGGCGTCGCAGAGCGCGAGGCGGCGCTTTAAAAGCGACTTTATGTATGTAAAGTCAGTTTGAACTGTCTTTCCGTCATAAGGATCCATGTAATTTCGAAAGTTCAAACACGTATTCCTCAAAATAGCAAAAACTGCACGTATGCGTCTTGTCGTCCAAGCCCCTTAATTGAAGGCGTAAATCGCCTATTACGTACCAATAGACATCAGGTGTGATCGTCTCTGAGGCCCCTAATTTAAAAGGTCGAAACGATTACGTATAAGATTCCAGGACAACTGCTTCAGAAGTGTATATTTTTGGCGAATATTCGAGTATAATTACTTAAAACGCATGTATTGAAGTCAGACCGTCTAAGAGGTATTTGCAAGTTTCACAAGATACCCAAAGATATGAAACTTTAAAGTTTGCAGTCCTAAATAAGTGGGCTGGAATGTTATGACATTTCTTGAAAAATTCCTGTCCAGAATATCTTTGAAAGAAACCACGAGTGCGGAGGAGGCCAATTTGAGTAAGGAAGCATTTGAGATGATCTCAAGTCAAAAACTTTTCAAAGGGAATTTGAAAATTCAGGACAAAGACAAAAATCGTCCCTCGCCATACTGAGAGATGGAAAAATAATATTTTTTACGCTTTGATTTTTTTTTCTTTTCTAAATCATGCATTTTAACCTCAAATTTTTGGATGACACGCGTTGTTATTTCCTCGCAGTCGTAGGTACGACCGCTTTTACCAGATAAATTGTTTCATACAAGCTAACCATGTATACTTTCATATTTAACAGGGTGATAGCGGTGGTCCCTTGATGATTCCTTATGGGAAAAATTCATCGTATTACTTGATTGGAGTTGTTTCATTTGGTAGAGGGTGCGCACGGCCGAATGTTCCCGGGGCTTACATGCGAGTTTCGAAATTCCTTGATTGGATAGAAAAAGTAACAAAATAGTTCCTTTTTCACAAAACTGACATATTATTAACCTATAATCCATTTATAACAGCTCATTGAATAATACTCGTAAGTGTGTTAGTCACAATCATGAACCGTACTATATTACTTACAGCTTATTTAAAGGCCACGAAAGTGGAATTGTTTGATGTTTATGAGGTGCAATCATACGATTAAAGATCACAAGTGTGTAATTCGCAAAAATGCAATACTTGTATAATTATTTACAACTAGCTGCTTCAGCTCACTTCGCTCTCTTCCGCACCTCGCCAGCAGGGAGTCCACCCGCCCCTTGGATCCCTGATCACCCACCTCGCGAGCCTGGCCGCTACGCGGCCCAACCCCCAGGGGGCGCTTCGCGCTCTCTTAGGCCCGCTTCGACAAGAGAGCGACCAAAAAAAAATATGAAAATATTTTCATATCCGGCTCTTCTTTGTCCAATGTCCAACCTCCTGTGTATGGCCGGGAGCAATTGGACCAATAAGAGTCGTATGAAAAAAATCGTCATTTATTTCAAACTTTGTGCGCAAAAATATCAAGCAAAATTTTTCATAAGAAAATTAAGTGGAGTCGAGAATTTTTATACACAATAATTGATAGTTTCGCCGCTGATATATGTCACACATGATTGGTTTTACAACAATACAGATAAAATAAAAATACACAAGTAAGGCACTTAAATCCATTTAATTGATAAATTAAGCTATGATGCAAAGGAAATATCTCGGAAATAACATGTAAAATATATTTATATATACATGAACATCTTCTTAAAATTTGAAAATAGTTACAAAGTGAAAAAATTAACTATCGAGCATAGTAAAATAATAAAAAAACAAAAAAATAATGAAGAAAAAGAACACACAAAAAAGAAGCTTCCATTCTTCACTATGCGAGATGTATACTAAATTTGTTAAGATAGAAATAACGTTTTATGAATTAGTGCATTAAATTTGGCACAACAGAGCTTCTTCACCTATTACAATATTTACAAGACTAATTTGTTTCCTTCCTCTTCTTCTCCTCCTTATTTCCAGTTTTACAAAGGAAAAAGTATACGATGAAGAAAAAGTTACAAATACTAAAGCGTACTTTTAAGCTATTCTTTCTCCTCCAAGTCATCTGTACTAAAATTATTATATCAAAGTATGCCTCATAAATATCAGCTATTAATCCTCTTCAAGAAGAAAATTGCGTTCCCCTGGTTTTTTTTCTTTCTTTTTTTCTAGCACCGGAAACGTTTACCATCCATACCGCAGTGTAATTTACAACAACGAGAAGCTATCTAAATTAAAAAATTCGCTACGCAATCGTAACTCGTAAGTCTTAAAATTCAAACGTGAACATGTTTACATAAAGTCACATTTTAATGTATGTACCTACTATTTACAACAGATTTTTAGAACAAGAACAAGAACACTCTTCAGTTACCGAATAGGGAACTTTGACCCACATGCACTTGTACTTTTTTCGCTTCTTCATCTTCTGGTACTCTTTCGTCCCTTTTTGAGGCGTCATCGTATTCTCGGGTTTCTGTTTCCTCTTCTCGTCTGGCCTCCGCAATCTGTAACAAAACACCGCAGATGTTAGATATTCTTACGTTATTTTCTACGTCATTTCGTGGGATCTGTACCTGACACGCAGCCATTGGGGTAGGGCTTAAGGGGCTTGAGCCTTGAGTCCGAC